TTGAGTGAAAAACTGCGGATATATGGATGGCACCCTCACTGTTGGCAAGGTAGGGAGCAACAAGAATAAAAGAACGTCACAGAATCTTAATAGGAAATTTGACGTCAGTCTTTGAATACAAAGGGCCTCCAGAATGAATTTAACGCCGTCCATCCATTTTGTAGTGACGTAATTGTCTTATTAAAATTGGATCAATATCTTTATTCTTCATTCGAATGACGTAATTTAGTTTTATGAATGAAGAAATACGAATTATTCTAGGACCGTTTTTAATCAAGATTAAGCAAACACCGGGCTCACGTTTTTTTTCTCATTGCTCGTCACAAGTAAATCCGCGAAATTGGAATTTCGCGTGGCAATTTCTCGCCCATGGTGCAGAGAAGTGCGTGCTGCTGGCTGGGTAATTAAAGTGTGCACGAGAGATGATTAAACTATCAACTTTTTATAGCCCAGTGGCGGCAGCTCATTAATAAAGCTCAATGAGAAACTGGCTTAGGCGCGCCTCTCTCTCAAATAAAACCAAGAGAGAGTCACTCGCTCCTCTTTGTTCTCCCAGTTTGTTTTTAATAAACGTGCATTTCACAATAATCCGCTCACAGGGCTGCGCACGTCAAGCAAAGCAAATTTCGCACGTTTGCACCAAAATATTTGGTTGACGGGCAAATACTTGGGAAGTTTAGTGCCGCCCGCGCATAAATAGTCCCGTTTGATGTGCCGCGCCAGTGAAACAATTCATATTGAAATTGAATACAAATTTGCACTCGACCGGTGATACTGCATTGTTGCATGCGATCTGTCGCTCGGATGGGGCGAATCGTTCCTGGCATGCAAACCCTTTTTATTTTTTGTCACTCCAAGTGGAGCACCACTGCATTGGGGTCTCTTGCCAATTTCAGCACAGGGCTCTATTGCGGCGCCGAGTTCAACAAACGGCAGCAATGACAGTGGTTTTAAAATAATACTGCAACACTCTCGCGCAGCAAAGAGACTAAAGAGTTGGAAATTTCTCAGCCTGAATGTTATAAATTATATTTTATTCCAATAACCTAAGTCTTAAAATTTTTATAAAATCCCTAAAATATAAAAATAAAATAAAAATGTTATCTTTAAGTACATTTGAAAAAATCTTAAAAACTACTAATATTGAACTTTACAGTGTTCTGTATACAAATAAGCAACAATTTAAAATAATATGTTTTTCATTTCTAGTTCATTGAGTAAACAGTATAAAGTTTTCTTAATTCCTTTGATAGAGAATTTCAGTCATTTATAAGAATCACTTATTTAAATTTTTTAAATTGATCAACAAGATCATCATTTTCAATAATGTCCCTATTCTTTTGAATTTATTTTTGGTTTTGCCAAAAAAATTCAGCATTATTCATCTCTAAAAATCAATGGCTTTGACACACCATTAAATTTCAGAATCAATTCCAAAATGCAATCACTCTCTGCCCGTATCACCGGATCAATTTGTGCAATTTGCATTTTTATAGCTGCCGATCTGCAGGAGGGCGGAAAATGCCTCGCCGTTCTCTCGAAGAGTTGCAACACTCGAATAGACGTCGGGCGATTTATTACGCGAGGGAGTTACGTTTTTTTACGTTCGTACGCGCGCGAGCTCCCTTTTCCCTTTGCTGAGAGGCGAATTCGTGTTGGAAACGCCAATAAACGAGAAATGGCCTTCATTTCTTGGCGCGCCAAACCACCGGCGCGAAGAAGAAATTAGGAAAAGCCTAATTCGTTCGTTTCTCTTTTTATGGCGTTATTCCGCATTGATCCGAGCGTTTGCGAATTTATACATCATGTCTCAACAACTTGGCTGCCTCCCCCGTATAATATGTGCGCAGCGAGCCAGCAACGAAATAAGAATATAAAAAAATACGTAAGGAGAGAGAAAGGGTTGCGCTCACTGCCAGGCTCTCTTGTTTGGAAAAACTGGCTAATGGCACTCAACCATTCGTATTTCCATATAACGCGTGTGTGTTGGTGCGCAGAATAAAAAGAGACACCCATGTATGTGTCGTGTTTATTTTTGGCACAAAAGGAGCAGCCTTACATGGCCGGCGAAAAGATGAATTTGTTTGTGGTGCGCATGGAAATCCAGCAACGAGAGTAAATTAGATTATGCGTCATGGGTTTTCATTTGAATTAATTTTGGTATGAATGTAGCCTGATTCACAAGTCTTGACTCACAGTTATCTTCATTACATTTAAATAAATTATATTATTCAATTTAAATAATTAAATCGAGTAAAATAATACAATAAATATTGCTTTTTAAACATTTTTGTTTATTAGATTGTTGATGAACTGCGATTCAATACCAATGAGGTGTTTTGCTATCCAAATTGTAATAATTTATTTTTAGCGATAATAATGGTTAGATTTTGGGGTAGCAAATATTTTGATTCTAAAAGTATGTTCTTAAGACATTTCAACTATATTAAAATAATAAATAAAAATAGTAGTCAAAGACATTACAATCATTAGAACAGAAAAAACCCGCACACTAACAATAATTTGAAAAAATATTAAAAGTTGAACCGAAAAATAAAAATAAAATAAATAAATAATTGGGTGGTGCCTTCTGTAGTTGTACCACCAATAAAGGGCACAGGCCGACAAGACTTTGTCTTGGCCTGACCCTAAAAAAAAAATCAGTTTGAGAATCTCTTAAGGGGAAAATAACTTAACTTTATAAAAATAAACTGAGCATATTGTTCAGATATGTTACAAATTTAACGGAATTCTATTATTATTTAAATAATTATAAGAATTTATAAACATTTGCTCATCCAAAAAAATTTAAATAATTTAAATCAACTATAATTAATCTTTAGCACTAACTAATACTAATTTGTAATATCTCAAAACCAAGTAATAAAAATAAATGAAAAATACTGATAAACATTAAAAAAAGGAATAACTAAAAGGCATAACACTTTAAGGGGATTTTCTCCTCCATAAATGAATGTGTCAGATCGTTATAATAAATTTCTTCACTCCAATAGCCGTCATTATAAATTTACACTTGGCACCTTAGGCCGAGCGAACGCTTGTGCACACCATAAAACAACAGCGAAAGTGCGTGGGCGGTTAAAATGAATCACAAAAGCGCAATCTGAAAATAGCCGCGGTTCCGACTAAGCCGTTTTTCTGAAAGCAAATATTTACTGTTTATAACGCGACGCGGCTAATTTATTTAAATATCGATTCTGGTGTGTGGTGGCGGCGCATTTCATTTTCTGGAACGGCTGCCTTCCGCACGGTGCTGAATTTTGAATGAGCCGACCGCCGAGAGTGGAGTTGCGAAATGAAAAAGGCATTTAATCGGCCCTTCGAGGAGACGCCGCGCGCCTCTAGGAACTCGGCCACATTTCCTTCTGTTTTATTCAAACGAATCTGGACGAGTCCGCAAAAATAGCCGCTGAATAAACGGACGTGTGCGAGCGGTTAATGTGCATGCAAAATTTCCTCGTGCATCACCTGCTGACTCGGCCCTCTAATGGAACACCAAGCCTCTTCTTCTTCATGTCAGACGCCCACTGACTCCGTGAGTGAGTGAGTCGGAGTCAATTTGAGAAAATCGAGATCATTCTTTTCAGCTGTGATTGCACTTTTCCCTGCTTTCAGATTTTTCGCTGACCGCGTGAATAAAAAAACTGTCTGGTTATATCATATATAGAAAGTGGAATTTTTTCGTTTATCTTTTCCTAGAAAATTATACATATTTTGTTACTGTTGGTGTTTTCGTTTGCATTTCCTTATTTTACTAGTATTTCACTCCTAACCGGAATTGGCTATATTTTTTCTAGTCCTATAGGCTCACAAAAAAATCTCATATTTTTCCAATAAATCACAATAAATATTATAAACTCTCCAGCATATTGAGCTGATGAATTTTCAAGAATTGTCAGGTTTTTATAACTAGCAGGGGAAAATTATATTTAGATTTTGTCTTTCCAGTGTTTTGAAAAATGTAACAACTTGGTGGATTTTTTACTGAAGGAAAGTGATCTCTTTTGCACGCAGTGATTAAATATAGTTTCATTTTTACGTTTACGAGATTTAAATTTTTGATTGTTGAATAGAGGCCGTGGTGAAATAAAAGTTTTGGAATTGAATTGAATTATTAATAAGATGAAGTTAAAAATTAGCACAACTGTGTTTGAGCATTCATTGTTTATAGTTGGTAGCTACAAATAATTAAAAAATATTATTAATTACATTATTACAATTATAAAATTATAGTATGTATATCAATTATATTAAATCGTTTAAAATTACTACTTTTTAAAATGTGCACCTCGAGAGCCCAAATTAATCTTTCTTCTAGAGGAATATTTACGGGCAATTTTAATGCGATGGATGGAAATCTGCGTCATTCAGAAGATCCAGAGGATGATGAAGTTTGATGGCTTATTTAGCCTAGCCATGTGCAATTGAAAAATCTATCAGGAAATTTCAAAATCTTGATCAGCGCCTCAACCATTTTTTTTATCAAAGAATTATATTGAAATTTTTGTTGATATATTTTTATATCCATGCATGATTTTCGCTTTTGCTATAGAATGTACTGGAATGTACTTTTTGCAATGCAATGAACGTACAAACAAAGAATAATCAAATTAATAAACACGAAACCCGTGTTTATTTTCTTGATGTACATAATTCTAATTGGCTTTTAGAATATTTCGCAAAGTCCAACAACTGCTGTATATGGTTGAGGTATAAAGGATTATACTTTATTATATATATTTTGCAAACGTCCAACTGCGTCAAACTTTGTGATATGGTATGGAAGTAGCGGTATAAAGGAAGTGAATAAATTAAACACAATAAAACGTCGAATCACGTTCACTATAATACGTGGTTTCATAGGAAAAAATTGTTTTGCAATATTTTTTCAATAATTTCCACAAAACAGATAAATTGAGGGAAATGACGTCAGTTAATTTTCATCAGCCATTTCAATTTATTAACTGTTTTTCAAACGCAGCGCTCATTTCAGCAATAATCTAGTGCATCATTAATTTGCCAACTCATCAAATCGATGGGATTTCAAGATGATATTTTTTAAAATACTTTTGTTCTTGGTTTTATTCGCTTTGGTAAGTGGCTGCTGATATTCATTTGACAATAAAAAAGCATGATTTTTTACCTATTTACAACTTTCAGGTTTTAGAGGAGTGCAATGCTGGGTCAGTAATTAAAAAGAGAGTTAAAATCTCAAATTCTCAAGGTCAGCTTTATTTGTTATTATTATATAATATTGTTGAAATAAATATTTAAAGGCTCACTGAGAGTGATTTTCAAGCAAAAAGCTCCAAGACGGGGTCAGATTATTAGATGTTGTGGCCGTAACAAGTGCTCATTGGAAAATCTTTCGCCTGGGAAGCAGAAAACTTCCAACAAGACTGCAGGCACTGACGGATTGCTGGATGTAATTTATGTCATTATTAAGTGTAGCTGATTTCCTAATCAAATAAATAATTAATAAGAGAGCATCAGTATCTCTAACAAATGAAAACGTGCAAACCAAGGTAAAATTAATAAAAATCCTTCAAATAATAATAACAACTTATCGGAAAGGCAAATAATATTGAAACTGGGCCAAGCGAAACTGTAACTTTAGACGGAGCAGCAGAAACCACTACAAATGCAGCAAGCCCTGAAAGCGAAACGGGCTCCACCAATATTCCTGATGGACCCACCTCTCAAATTTCTGATACTCCAGCAAGTGTTGAGCCGTTGACAACGATTGCTTTTGGAAATTCTCCAATTCCTACTCTAAACGATTTACAAACTGGATCAACTATTTCGCAAACAATTAGTAAACTTTTCGAAATAAAAAACCCAATCTTAACCATTTTAATTTAGCCAGTTATTTAAAATGCATGGCTGGATGAAGATGAAATCTAATATTTAATTCTTTTAAGCAGCAAGTGACTTACAAATCACAGAATCGCCTTCTGCACTGACCACTCTATTCCAACAAGTTGCCTTACAAACCTCCACTACAGCAAAGCCTGTAACACCTTCAGCTTCTTCTGGCACTCAAGCTACTTCTGGTGGTGCAACTAATAATGTGCCAACAATCGCTGGTTCAACAAGTAGTATGCAAGCTACTGGAACTACTGCTGCTGCCGCAACTACCTCTAAAGGTCCAACCAATGCTGTAACCACAATCTCTGGTTCTACAACTACAATACAAACTACTGCAACTCCTTCTTCCTCAACTACCGTAAAAGTGGGGGAAAAAACATAATAATTATTTTAATATTTAAATATGTCTCGAAAAAAAAACGATTTCTTCATATTATATTTTTAATATTGGCTGAAATGTTTTAAAATATTTCAGGCTTTGTGTTTAAAATCCTCGTGTGCCACGTATGAAGCAGCAAAATTGGTCAATATATGCCCGCATTCGGTGCAATTAAAATAATAATTTTATGATTTATTTTTCCGTTCGTAGGCGTTTCAAAGCGCTTCTAAAGGCGGTATGATATAATTTTTTCTTCTCCTATAAGGGTATTTTCATTACCAAGCTTCTGAAATAAGTAGCTGCTGCACCGACTGGAAAATTCACATCGGCTTGTGGTAGAAACTTTTTCGTTGGAGACACTGGCGTAATTATATATAAATATTGAATCTGTGTGCTTTTACTTTGAAACCAGGGCATAAAATATATGTTTCATAGTCTGACGTCAGCACGGCTGCGACTAACTGCCTAAAAATTAATCTCACTCTTCTCTCCATCGATACGATCGTCAAATTTTCCTGCATTTCAAAGCTACTACTTGGTTTTTTTATCAAGATTTTTTGCCTTTATTTTAATCGTACTAATAGATTCAACAAAAAAATACTGGACTTCTGGTTCTAACGAGGGAACTGGTTGCGAGATTGATCGAAAGTACAATTGGTGTTCCATGAATGGGTCCAGTTTTACTGGACAAATTATGAACACTTCACTCTGGTCCGCTCCTTCTGCTACAGATGCCACACTTGAAAGATGCATTTCATACGTTTTTGATAGCCAGAAAATTGGAATGGCGCACACAGCGTGCACAGAAAAGCTTTTGTATATTTGTGAGGTAAGAGTACTTATAATAAATTTAATACTGTATAATGCATATATTTAACATTTTATCTTAGCCAACTTGTGCAATGCCCGAAACTACTTGCACGCCAAATGTAATTTGATTAAAAATTTGAAACAATAATTGTACTCAATTATACATTATACTAGGCTTCTTTGTTTGATGTGGATGGAAAACTGAAAGGTAGCACAATGTTGTTACTGGAAGACTAAAATGTTTTCAATTTGCATTTAAAACTCTGTGCAGACCCTAATCAATATGGATTTTGGTCGGAAGCGTGTGGAGAAATGATCCTATTTGGAAACCGTCCAGTAAATACTAAACAATTAATATAAATTTGTGTACAATTATTCTCTTATTAGCTGACGTGGGAAAATAATACGCAAATGTGTTGCAATCTTGGGATGCAGTCATTTTACATCAATTCCAAAATTGACCAACTATGCATTTCAAATCTGACAAAATTCAAAACATGGAAATACAATTTTAATTATTGGCTTGGTGGTACGAAGCAGGGTTGTCGGCAGCAGTGGGCTTGGGGTGGTTCAATTACCGCAGGAATACCATCGGACCTAATTTGGGAAAAGGGGCAGCCAGACAATAAGGGAGGCAAGGAGGAGTGCCTTCACTTTAAGGTTAAAAACAACACCGAAGGGGCTGTCGTCACTGACAGGAACTGCACAGACAAGTACATCATGGCGTGCAGGGTACTTTAATCAAAAACTTTTAAGTTCAGATGAAACTAATCTGAAATAATCCAGGGAAAGCCTGCGTTAGGATCCTTGTGCCAGAAAGCGACCTGCCTTGCAGGGGACTGTATTAGAAACGTAATAAAATATTAGTGCCAGCTCATTTTAGTTGGATGGCAACTTAATGTAATTTATCCTCCAGGATTCCCTGTTTGCATTTAATGAAAAGGGAATTGAGTACTTGGTTGGTGGGTATATATTGAATTCAAAATGAAACATTTTTTTTTTATTAATTTTTACGAATTTTTATACAGATTATAGTAATTATGGTTTCTGGTTTGAAACATGCGGACGTCAATTTCTGTTTTCTACAATTCAGGCAACTATAAAGACCTTAAAAATAATTGCAACTAAGTTTTTTTTGCAGTTGAATGTGACAGAGGCAAAAAAGTACTGCTGCAAAATTGGCCTCACCATGCTGTCTCTAGAATCTTCAGAAAAGCAAATTTGCTTGAATAATTTTGCCAAAAGTTTGCTTCTTTTTAAGTCCCAAATTTTAATATTATGTTAATTTCATTTCATTGCCAAGAGCAAAAGTTAAGAATATCTGGAGATTACTGGACATCAGGAACAGACCAGAACTGCCCTGATAAATTTCACTGGTGCTCAGCACAAAAGAATTTTCTTAAAAATGAAATCAGATGGAAAAGCGGTCACCCTGATCCGAATTTCGACTGCGTGATGGCAAATTTTAACTCTTCACTTGCAAATTTCACCGAGTTGGCGACTGCCAATTGCTCAGTTCCAAAAAAATTTGTTTGCGAAGTTCGTTTGCAAAATTTATTTGAAAGTTTCATTTAATATTTCCTCTCAATAGATACGTCAAAAAAACACAGCGAGGTTAGCACTACAGGAAGAGTGCGCCGCACTTTGGAACGTCACTCCAGGTTCCAACTTAATTACAAAATGCAAAATCAATACATTTTTATTTCTCTAGAGGAAATTCTGCTATTCCAACTCGGACTCGCTGGCACTGCTTCATACTCTTACAGATTAAAGGTTGAATTGGAGCAACTCATTTAACACATGCTTACAATATTTTTTGTTTTCCATTTTAAGTGCTTCATTCGGTGCATTGGCATTGAAGTGGGAATGGTCAGTGCGCGAACCGCAATAGGTCAAATGGAGCAATTCAATTTTGTTCTGATTGCAGTTTGCAGACAATGCTCTGGTGACCGACGAGATTCTGCGGAAAATGGAAATTGCAGCAAACGACGACCCACCTACATTGCAAACCGGATTCAATGCTTTCGACGATTGTAGCCCATTGAGTGAGTCATTATGGTAAATATTGCAAATAAAATACAAGTTTTTTTCTTTTTGGAAAAAGGAAACAATGATGAGTGCATCACTGCATCTGAAATTTACAAGTGCGGATTGCAAAAAGCGCCCTTGCTGACAAACAGCATGGTCAACGAGGGGAGCACAAATTTATCTGTGGTAATTTATTTAATAATGAGAACTTGGCACAAAATATAATCATAAAAATTAATATAAAACATCTATAGTACGGTCCACCATTGGATTGTGTGCCTATTGAAAACTATTGCTTTGCCACTGGAGTGTTTCCCTGCGTACTGAACGTAATGAAAATATTTCAAGGAGATAACTAATGACACAAAATAATGTTTGAATAGTCCACAAAACGAACTATGCTTTTGAATGGAAACCGTAAATTTGCATTTAACATAAAGTTTCAAGAAAGCTTAAATATTTTAAAACAGATCCTGATCTAACTTATTATATCAATGGTACCCCCGGAATATCCTACGCCCTCTCAAGAAATTTCAGATATGAAAATTTAGTATTTTATTATAATTTTTTTATCAGTTAATTTTTTTCATTTTTTCATACTAGTCTTACCCTGATGCTTTCAATCATTGCTGTAGTGTCGGCATGAGACTAGCTCACCCAATTAGTGCAACAGAGCTATCAAGACTCAATTCCATTATGTTCACGAATGGTAAAGCACTTAAGTTTTCTTCGTAATTATTTATATTATATATATGTTATTAATTGCTTCACTTCAGGTTTCAACGAATATCTTCCTTTAGTTGGAGACATGTTCAAATTGAACCAAACTCACAACGCTTGGTGTGAAACAGGGAAAGTGGTGGATGACAGTTTGTATGATATAGTGGGACCCCCAGCATCATACGACAATCAAAATTACAATCCTGATTGCTATGTATATGCATATGGGTTGCATTATACTACGAGGAATCTCGCAAAATATGCACTCGATGCTAAAAACATTTATGGAGCCACTGGCGCTCCACTGTTTTTTTGCCAAGATCTTTAAAAATCCGAATCATATTTTTGAAATTTAAAAAATTCCAATTTTAAATACTTTGTAAATATTTGACAACGGATGTAAAGATAAAGAATATGAAAAAAATTCCTTCTCAAAATCACTCTAAATTAATATCAGCGGTTTCTCATTGGACAATCTACAACATTTAATCCATTTTGGGCTTTTTGATGAAGATTACTAAGATCAGGCAGACTCTTGCATTTTAAATAAGATAATGCTGCAAAATTTATGTAATCAGATTGTTCCTGACGTGATGACTGTTCAAAAATATTTTAGTAATACATATAATATTAATATTTAAGGGGCAAACTTCAACATCCTCATACACGTTTTGGTTGTTAATCACTATTGAAAAGTTGTTGGGCGTAGCACTATTGATTAAGAAAAATTTCATTCACGTTTTTTTTTTATAAAAATTAATTTAAGAAATTTTCCAATACTTTATTAATGTATTTACTTGAGAATCCTGTCTCCCTACCATAATGTAGCACAATAAACTTAATAATTATTCACTTATTTTTAAAGATTTTTGTTTCAATATTTTTATTAATTGTCAAGTGCTTATAATATTAAAAATAATTTAATGAACAACTGCAAATGAATGCTTTGCGAGAATTATTTTAGTTTTATTTATTTCTCAACTGAAATCTTGAAAACATTATAAATTTCTTGTATCATAATTTGACTGACACGATATTCCAGAATGTATTAGAAATTTTGATTTCATGGGTCCAGGGGCGCTCTGCAGTTTCACTTCTTGATGAAACCAGGATAAAACGTTGAGTTCTCTTTTTTTCAATATTTCAACTACGTTTTAGTTGAGACATTTCTAGACACGCAAACTTCGCTATTTTTTTCTAGGAAAATTTCTGATTTGGAAAAATACACACCCCTACTGCGCTGCATAAAACTTTATTTGGAGTTACTTAGGAGACCCATGAGATATGAGCAGAGAATAAGAGGAGCTTCTTCCTTTTTTTTGGGGGGGGGGGGGGGGTACATTTCGCTTTAAAATCTTCAAAGAGGCAAAGTTAGAACTCTTGTCTTTTTGAGAAACTTTCAGTGCGATTTAGAAACGACCACAAATGCAAATTAATGAAATTATTAAATAATGTTATTTTTTAATTCGGAGCGATCAGTCCTACCTAATTTTTACTTGGAAATTTAAAACGGTATTTAATTATTTTTGCTTGGCTCGCTTTGCTCGCAGCTTTTTCAAGTGTTATAAAATATGTAAACAAAAATTGAATAAAAGTTTTGTATGTTTTTTTTTTTTTTTGTGATTGCACAGTTGGAGTTCTTTATTGGGAAGGACGGAAGGAGTATTGGATTTAATGAAATTAAAGTAGTTTAGATACATATCATACTTTATGTATTGCGTAGAAGTGCAAATTAATTATTTTTTTTTTATACGTTTCTTACATTTTAAAATATGTTATATTTGATTAAGTATAAAAATTCTTGTAAAAGAATTACATTTCAAAGTTTTTATATATTTAAATAAACTTTGTATTTTGTAAGAGCTGTACAATTGAATTCATCTTGCTTTGTGAATTACTGAGTGCACACTCTGCGCCAAAGCTTTTGCGGTGGACAGAGAACCAGAGAAAGTTTTCGTATAATTGTTTTATTTAGCTGTGCGGTTCGCAGCAAAGTAAGTGTTATATCTGCCGCCTATATCTCTATGGGAACGTTACTGAAAGGGCCACATCGATTGCGTATTACATCCATCAGCGAATGCTAAGGATGATAAATCTTTCTCGGCAATATCCTTCATCATCGGTGGGCGCGCGCGTCGCGTCCATTTTTCGCATTAAAGAAATTGCTCATATCCATTATCTGCTGCTGCCGACGAAAAAGATTGCTCAAAATAGATAAACAGCGCGGTGGCGGGCGAGCGAGCGCCTCTTGAAATCGCCGCAATTACCTCATCGGGAAGGTATTTTTTTTCCTTTATGACGATGGGCTCCTTTATTGATCGTGCATAGTGGAATCGATAAGAAAGTTGCGATCTTCAAGCTTTGCGCAATTTTGTCTTGCGAAGAAGGTGCGGGTCGCAGCAGATTAGATAAGTGGAAGTAAGAAGACGAGTGGTGCAGACGCATTTTGGGGCTGTCGCTAGATTGGAAATTTGCACTGACTCAGCAGAGAGAACAGCTCTTGATTGATGATTGACGCCAATTAAATATGAAGTTTCCTCAATGGTTAAAAAAAATTAATAATTTTATTGCTGAATTAGACGGTTCCTCGAAACAAGGAAAATATTTTTTAATTAAGGCAAATCAATTCTAAAGAAATCCAATTAAAAAATATCTTGTTTTTATCAGTAATTTGAAAGTAAATTGATAACATTGAAAATAATAATTTTCACTTTAAAAACACGAGCATCAACTTGCTCCAGTCTTTTTTTTACAATTTCATTCATCGGTAGATTTACCAAAAGTTTATATAAAAAACGGCTCATTTATTCCTTCTTCATGAAATGAGCTGTACCGCATGCTTGGATTGTTCCACCCCCTACATTTTTGCTACCACCCTGTTGTTTCCAGGAGTTTGTTGCAAACCGTGACGTGGAGTAATTTTTGTCGCAGTTTCCCGCACCGCTCTGGCAAAATAACCCCTCATTTTTCCTAGAAAATCTGGCACTTTATTATTAGGACCGGCGCTGGCTGGAGGAGCAAAAGTGGTGCAATTCGTCTCTTTCCGAGGGCTCAACTCACACACGCCATTTGAATAACGAGCCAGAAAATGGATTCGGTGCCGTCATCGCGCACACAATAAAATTAAGGCAGCAGCAGGGTCGGTTAAAGACAAATTTCTTGCATGTTCTGCGCCTGCTGGCAAAATAAAGCGCACGTCAAATTGGTGCCGTACTGCGGAGACTGAAATGTTGTTTCTCTCTCGCTCTCTCTGTCGTCTCATTTCACATGCTCACTGATGCTCAATTTTTGCTTTCGCCTCTTGACGACCTGTTCTCGGCCGCCTGCCATGTGTTGCTGCTTGAAAACTTGGCGAAATGTACCGAGTCGACTACTTTATTTGTGCAATGTACCGAAATTGCAGATTTTTCAGCGACCAATAGTCATTTTGTTTGTTTCTACATTCACTTGCAATGAGTCAGTGAAATAAGTAATTAACAAAGTCGGCTCCTTTAATAATTATTTTGAAACTGGGTTTGCTAAATATCCAACCTATATTTTTCCTAATTTTATCTTAGTTAGTTAGTAAAATAATGTTTTATTGCCAATGTAATGCTACAATTTATTTTGTTTAAACCTTTAAACAAAAGGTCCATTTTTGTTTTCAGCTTTTTATTAATATCTTTACAGCTGGTCTGTAATTCTTGTTACCAATTTTCATTTTATTTTAAAGTAAGTTCCCAAATTGAAAAAGATTATGTCCTGAAAATTTTAGTTTCAATGTAGCAAAAAGTATTGTTACTTAGAATCACTTAGAATCAATCGTATCTTCCTGGTTTTCTGTTGAATTAAATTATTAATTTATTTATTAGCCTCATCATTTAAATTTCAAAGTAATTTTTTTATAAGTAGAGTTTTTTTTTAAATTAAATTTACTCTTCTGATTGTGAGTTCAATTTATTCAAATTTTTGTGTCTTAAAATTTTGTGCTTCTATTTCATTTATCTATTTTGTTAATGCGAATAGCAAAGAAATAGGGTGAGCGTGAAATAAAGCAATATTAAATTTAAAACACTATTAAGGACGACCCTCCCTTAAATATTGTGTGCCCAAAATTTCAAAAGTCACACAAATGTCAAGGTAAATTAGGATCGGGCATGGTGGGTGCATTTTATTAGTGTCCAAATGAAGGCCCGCAGCTGGCACTCGGGCTTAAAACGACCACCCTAGAGACCGTGTGTTTCATTTACGGCCCGAATGTTTCCAGGGCCGTATAATTTACTGGGACTCCTCCTTAATATTTCCCGAGTGCGAAACGTGCCGAAAGCCGCAACTGCACCCGCGGGCGTAATTTGATCAGACCCCGCTCCATTTGATACAACAGATGGGCGCCGTCGTTCGCATTTTCCAACTTGATTTGGGTCAATTTTCCATGATTTGGCGCGATCCGTCCTGCAGCGCGCCGATGAATTTTTTACTGCAACAACTCTTTTTTTGCACGTGGCAGAGCAAAGTAAGGGAGCGTCCTCTCGTCCGAGCTAGAGAAGCTCTGTGCGAAATGTTTTATTCAGCAAACGACACTGAGCTGCTCAGTAAATTGTCTGGGTCAGGGAGGCAGCCCCGCTATGCGAAGCTAAACTACACTCGAGGCAGCCTTTTCAGTGCCCACTCTGCTCTCTCCTATATACTCAAAAAATTGGCCCATTTCGCTCAATTGAACCGCGATTCTGGCGCAAAACTTAACTCCAGCAGGCTCAATTATCCCTGTAATATAGTCATTCTGCGGTTTCCTGCGTCGAGCTTCGGCTGGATTTTTTCAATTATATACTAAAAACGACTTCTTGCTGCTTGGATATTGCTCATTTACTTTGATGATGCAGCTATGCGCGCGGCGCCGTTTGTGGTTCCAGAAATGCTTTTTTTAAGTGCAGACTCGCAAACAGGAAAGGCGTAGGAAGAACCTTTGAAGATGCAAATTGTGTTGTATCATGAAGAGCACTTCCATAAATTGATTTGCAACACAAATGTAGATCAATATTATACCATTTTATTTTGCACGATTTCGATCATTTTATTTTCAAATTTTATTTTATAGCTTCTTCTGTACAGCTTGGATTGAAATTAGTTTAAGCAATTGATTATTAGATATGGAATTTAAAATACTAGAAATCAAACCGCACAACGAGTTGTCTAACTAACTATTTAAATGAATTAGAATAAATTTTGTTCGAAATTATAAAAGAATTACACAAAAATTAAATAAAAAAGTGAATTATTACAAATTGTACCGTTATTTACTTGCATGCAATTTTTTTTTAAAGGTATGAAAGTATTTTTTACTCTTACTCGTTTAATTAAAAATGTTGCCAAAAATGCTTTTCCTTATTTTCGGTTTGCCCAAGACAAAGCACTTGAGAAAACAATGTGCCGTGCTGGTTGCAGTACCTGGCGCTTCAGGCGATAATTAGTTTTTGTTCTTGGTCTCAAAAGCGTGCGCCACAGTTTTGCACTCTTGAATTAGAATTTAGCGTAATTTCTACCCACCGTGTCCTCAAGGGATGCAAGCAGGGCATTAGCGGCCAGTTGTCCTATAATTTTGCCGCATTTTCATCGCGGTTTTCTATATAATGTCAATACATACTGTACATTATTTTGCCTTTAAAGCCGCAATAAAAGAGAAAGATAAGCTTTTTTTATTCAAAATAAAAAGTCCCTTGTGCTTATACAATCATATGATTGAATAAAATGTCTCACTCGGAAGTGGCAAGGAATTGTTTTATCTCTATTGAAATAAAAATAACTTTTTTAATTTCAAATGGGTTCTATTTCTTTCTTTTTAAAATAAAATTCCTAAGCCAATTTTAAGTCGCTTCCGCTCATCAAAATTCCAACCCAGCGTGCTGCACAATTTGGCACAGTTTGATTACTTTTTCAAAAAGGTATGTTTCCTCGCGGTGGTAAAAAAGGCAATCGGAATAATTGAACGCAGTCCAAAAAGCGTATAAACACACACGATGGTGATGATGATGTTGGAGCAAATGTGCCGTCAAAAGAGTAAATAGACACCGGCCACTTTTCATCTCTCAATTTCAGCGCTCGACTGCTGTATGTGTTCTTTTTTTGTGATACGTGTATTGCGACGGTCCACCCCGTAATAAATATCAGCGGATAAAAATGCCCAGCAGTATCAAATGTGATTCAGAAGTCGAGACACACGCTCACATTTGAAACAATTTCGCCTCGCATGTGTGCGTCTCTTACATACAAATACATTTGTGTATATGGAATAATAAATGCGTACTCTGCCGGCTCGCACCAGCGGCCGTCGAATGAAGTATAGATTTTTCGGGCGTGCTCTTTCTCTGTTAGCACGGCGCGTGATGACGGCATTTAAATAAAAAATAACGCCGTCTAGCGCTCATGCAACCGGCGTCTGTCTATAATTCAAAGCGGCCATAAGAAGAAGAAAGAAACCGACCGACTAAGTGGCTCGTCGGTGAAAGTTAATTAAACAATGTGTAATCCCTTAAAGGCGGCCGGCATTAATTTTAAAATATCGTTATGATGGAATTCGAAACGTTAAATAATACAAGAAAGAGATTTTTACAATTGGATTAAATTTGCATAATTTCTTTATGCTTTTTTTTTAAAGTAAATTTTTTTTTTTTGTAAAATCTAGAAGAGCCGATTCGTGCTTGGGACATTTCCAAAAAGAGGTTAGAGGTTATTTTTTCCAAAACTCTCAGGGTCGGGGCCGATATTCGACGAGAGCGGTATTCCGCTCCCGAGGCGCATCACCAAGGCAATAATGCGCCTTGCCTGACCTTAGATTTCTTCAACACTGCCACCCCCTCTCAAATTCTCCAGTATTTTCGCGGCCTCCGCAATGCAGATATAGTGAGACCAATTGGAGGACGGTTCTCTGAAAGGCACCGAGTGTTCCGGCCAATCGAGGCGCGCCTAACAATGCCAGCTCTGTGTATTATATTATTTGAACTGCAGAACCTACGCCAGCTCAAGTAGATCCAATTTCTGAACACGTCGATTTCAAATTTGGAAATTTTATGACTCGGCTACCGTCGTGTTTCGGGGTCGGAACAAAATTTTGAGTTTTTCAAAAGATTGATCCGGTGCGGCAGCTTGCGCCGCATTTGGTGCGCATTGGAGCACCGGCGGAGGGATCGCTGCTTGATAGTACACCAAGAGGGAACTACTGTGTAGCTCTTTGAAAATGTTTCAGTAGAAATTGTGCAGAGCTTGTGACAAGTCGCTCCGGCTTAGAATATCTTAAAATATACAATGGTAAGAGCAACCATCCGTTTTTCCATCTAATTTTTCCTAACACTAGAGTGATCTTTCTAACGTATTCGGTGTATAGTTTTGACTTTCTGATATTCTAACGTACTAAAAATATTCACTAAATCGGACACTGTTAAATATGTAACCCTTGATTTCTATTTTTGATGCCTGTTGATTAAAAATAACAGGAGAATGCTCGAATACTCACTCGACATTGAGCCAAATTCGAATCCCTCCATATATCAGCCACCGTTCCACCTACTTTCGGTCCAGTTTTAATTCAAAATCGGCGAAAACTCTTCAACCCTCTGAACACCCCTATTTCGTTATTGAACCGACCAGTACCTAGAATTCTCGCGTTCCCCGTAACAAAGAGTCCCCAGCAAAAGCTCCCGCGAGCGTTGTCAAACCCATTTTAGCAGGTGTTCCGATCCATATCAGGTAAACTCGGAATAAGTGACTGGTACCGGTAACTGCAGTCCGACCACACACTCAAGCGAAAGTATGAGTCAGCTCGGAAAATTTCCCCGCGATTCTGTTGTGTCGGCTGCGATTATTATAATTTTTTTTTAACCCTTTTGTACTTTTACTCGCCAGAGCATATTAAATGTCAAGAGCAGGTTTTCGGTTTCACGGCTGCTCTTTCTTTCCCATTCCGACAACTCGCAGGACGAGCGATGAATAATAAATAATTAAGGCAATTATGCGCCGTGTTCCATTGAACAAGGTGTTTCGGTTAATAATTGTGTCATAGATGGCCGCATATGCTCTGCACACACACATGTGCGAGGCGGTCCGTTTAATATATCTAGGGCATCGCCGTATAAAACAACAACTTTGTCAGAGACTTTTAACAACACAACGCTGAGTAATGAGAAGGACTCGTTATTCAAAATCTCATTAATTTCATGTTCCCCTCATGTTTCGTTTTCTTTCTGTCGAAAATCATTTTGTCTGACCATTGATAATAATGCACACTTTTTTGCTCCTTTTTCTCAAACTGTCAAAAATGAAGAGTACATTGACAGTAAGTACACAGTTTTCCTCATCGAAAAATCTATTTTTCTCGCATACATTTTTTACGTATTTTTGTATCTCTATATATTCATTTATGTTCAGCATTAAATTTTACGACTCTATATATATTTTAATGCCTGCCATTTTTTCCGTATATTTGTGACTCTACCATATTTATCTCCATTTGAATATTTATACAACCCTATTCTGCTGTGCACGCAACAATTAAGATTATATTTTTTTTTACTGCTACGTTGTTTCTCTTTTTCTTCCAAATATATATAAACCGCCGTCGTTATTTTTTAATTTATTTATTTTACTCGAGCAAATTGCTCTGGTTTTTATTTTAGTTACGTACAATCGGCCTCTGCAGATTCTTTATAGTTTTATTGCGATATTTCCCTCTCTTTTTTTCTGTCTATATCTCTTGAGCGCCCTGCCGGTGTATACTTTTAGTTCGCAGTATAATCTCCACCCATTTTGTCCCGGTTTCCTTGAGTAAATATTCAAATTAGCTTATCAACTCATGATTAGCAGGTTATCTCAAATTAGAAACGTGGAGAACTGCGTACCCTAAACGGCTGCCCGGAAAAAATGTCCATGTTGACTTGCACGTTTTTCTTATCAATCATCCAATTAACCGTTCGGCAAGGAGAACATATAGTGCTTCTTTCAAAACGTATCTCGCCCTTAATTCAATTTAACCAAACCACTCTAGAATGATGGCAACCTTTTAAAGTCAGCTAATTGCACCACTCCCCTTTTTTTATTAATTACGGAGCCTGTAATATTTTTTCAATTTAGCACTAGAGTTACCGGTACCTCATTTTGTTGATAACGAGAGTCAGATAATTTTCGCATGACGCTCTCACATCATCATAAAATATTATTGCTATCTCGCAGAACCCATTGTTTGAAGTAATTACTGACACATGCCGATCCATGAAAAAAATTTCCATATTCACATCTTTAGTTATTATTTCCCGCATATATAATCTGTATATCATTACATCTCTCCTTAAAACCAATGGTGATTGTTTGTCTGCCTAAAATTAATATATTCTTGAATGACTTTTGTGGTGATTGCCTTGCATGATGTTTGACAAAAGCTTGTTAAAATTATCTTATATAAAATGCAGATATATTGATTAAATAATGATCTGATAAAAAAGCATTAGTCCGCCGTGATAGAAATTTAGAATACAAACATATTCAAAGGTTTTTATTATACAGCAGAAAAGTGCCTGTCTCGCGGTTGTGGAATTCGACGAAAAGTTTCATAGAAATCGTGTGGTTTTTTGTTCGCTATTTTTCTCGTATCAGTCGCGCAGCGCTCACACTCAGCCAACCCCGCGGGGGTGAAAATCCAATTGCAGTAAAAGCGAGAAAAAATGGCTTGGTCGGTGCCAGGGCGGCGAACCCGCATAAAATCGGGTGGAAAGTGATTGTTGATCGGGGCCAAAAGTCCATTCATTGCGTGCGAAAGCCCACAAAAATACAAAGCAGCAGCGCCAGGCTCGCGCAGCCACTGGTAGAGCTTCGGGAGCACGTGGATTGGAACTCCCCCTCGCAGCGAGAATGGGTCAAACCAGTGGGACGCTCTAGAAACCCCCGCGAGAGAGAGAAAGCAGCTCTCCGCTTTTTGGCATGCCCGCGTTTGTTTTTGCGCGGAATTCGCGACAATATCGGCCACTCTTTGGCGAATCTCGTGCCGAATGTTATTTCGCGATTTGTGTTTTTATTCGCGTCGGGCGCCGAGCACCAGGGGTGTGCCAGCTAAATCTGCATGCTCGGTCGTGTATCGATTTTGTGCTCGTCGCTAGCGGGCGAGCGACGAGCGAGCAGCGTTCAAAGCCTCAAACACACTCGCCGCCTCACCTGCTGCTGCTGCAAATCCCTCGACGCCGTACTTGCATACATATGGCCTTTTTAATCGCATCCACTGTGCTCCAGTTTTGGAAGGGACGAGACTGGTGTTATAATTCAATCTTGCCTAGTTTCTTTAAAATCAGCATTCAAAATTTTACAACTAAAATTGACAAATTTAATCGCCATTTAATTAAAAAATTAATTAATTTGTTATAAATTTATTTTTATTCTTATAATTTTTTTATTAATTGTTTTATTTATTTGTAAATTTATAATATTTACATTTCCATTCTTTTAGAATATTTTTGATTTTTTTAATGATCAAATATTACAAAAAATTTCAATTACGTAATTTTAAATATTACCAAATCAATTTATTTAGACCTGAATTAAATTTACATTAATTGAGAGTTTGTTCAGTTTGGCTTCATAATTATTCTTAAAGGCCAATTTTTATTAGAAAATGTGAACTTTACTAAAAAAATTACCTCAGCTATCAAAACTTGAGGCGCACTTCTTCCCCGGGGCAATTTCCTCCCTGCCTTCCACAAATGTCGCGTGTGTCCCTGGCCAAGAGTCGCCCCGAGACCCTATCTTGCCGCATGTGACAAGAAGCGACAAACAAGCAGTCGCGCCATGGGACTTCGACCGTCCTTTCTCTCTCTCGCGTCACATTATTATTATTACCATTATTTGAAAAAAAAAAGCGTTTGAAGAATTGGCAGAGCCCGTTCCGCGTGTGCTGACGGTCGGGGGGTCGTTTGCACGCGGCGGTTTCATTGATTAAACTGGCAGCGGCCCTGGCTCGCGGAGGACAAGCAAAGAGGCTCCCAACCCTGGCTGCATGCGAGTGCCCGGAGAAAGGCAGCGCAGAGCAGTGCAAACCTCATAAATTTTGCAACAAAACATGTAGAGCAGCGGGAGAGGAACACGGCGGGCTGAGAGATTTACGTCCGAATGAGCCTTTGCGGTTCCGAACAATAACAAAGAAAAGGGTTGGTGAAAATTTTAGTGCGGGCTCACCGCGCGCGGCCCCCGAGTGCTCTTTGCTGCCAGCCAGTCGTAATTGGGATCGATAATCCGCGTCTTTTGCATATTAATTCGCGCGCTCAGGAGGCTTTCAAGTAGCGCCTCTTTGCTATTAATAAAGCCGCAGAAAGCGAAAGAGCTTTTCGCGTCCATGTGTGTATTTTGCGGGCAAATTGATTCCGAGTCGATTTTTCTTCTTCCTCGTTCGTGGACGCAATTCTTCGTGCCGGTGCATTTTGGCGTGGCGTGCATAACGAAATTATAATTCAAATATTATACGAAGAGCGGCTTGCGTGCGGTAAATGTGCTGAATGCAGATGAGCCCAGCACTGCGGACAAAGCTGCTCAATGGGAAAGAATCAAATAAATTAAAATTAATCCATGAAGGAAAACAATTTGTTACTTTGTGATTTCGAATAAATATAAACATTTCTATAATTTTTTGAGAATTTTTTAACTGAAGTCATTCAAGTCATTCATATTTCTTGAAATTTTTTAATTCAACGCCTGTCTGATTTTTATTAGGTTTTCATTTATTTTAAACTTCATCAATTTTCTTGTATTCTACATAGCGGAAAAGGATGTTATTTCTTTTTTGGTTCAGATAAAACTTGTTATTCTATTAGATTAAATTTTCTAAAAACTCATTTGAAGAGCAGGGTAATTAATTCTCACTATAATCAACTTTGTTCCACTCATTTTCGGGTCAGGTATTTATAAATAGAACAAAAACAAAAGCGAGCGTTTATTGAGACCAATTTTTCTAAATAAAGAACTCTAAATTTAGAATCGAATCCGCTGGGCTAAGTAAAAATGAGCATTTCTGTTGTTTTCCGTTGCGATTGCAAGAGGGCAGGGTGAGATAAAATGCAACACTAAGACCATAAAGATAAGGCAACCGGAGCCAATTACGCAAATGAAAAGCGTCAAAAGTGGTGTTCCTGGTGGAAACCGCATGCAAGCAACGTAAACACGCGGCGGCCGCGCTCTCGCATCCACGCAGAGTCGATTTCTCGGCCTTTGACGTTTGCATTTTGATATTCGCGGATAAAGGTCACGCTAGGTGGCCGGCCATATAACACACACAGCGCGATAATGGCGGCAGGAATATAAATTTATTCTCCGGCCGGGCCTTATATAATAAATTGTTATCATTGCATGATGATGCAAGCGCCGATAAGCGCCGGCCAGGCAAACTTATGGTGCCGAGCCAAGGTTTGTGCGTCTCTTTTGAACGTGCATTTCCATATCCCGCGGCGCTTTGTGTGCGGGTAATTTCTCGTGCTAATAATTAAACAGCGCTCAGGCCACTCTCGCCGGTTTTTTTTTTATTTGCCTTCGTCATCTTTGTGCTGGTTGGCTAAACAACTTGCGGTCGGGAACACTATGCGAGCGAGCAGCGGCATTTTTCGGCGCTAGCGTCATCCAGCTCGGCTCGACGGCGACACTAATTCATCCACAATGTGCTTGCATTTCTCGTTATTATTATTACACGGCCCAAGGAAAACGCGCGCAATTTGGTGCTTATCCCACGCTGCGAGGCTTTCGTGGTCTCGCAGCTGCCTCGATAAACTTTTTGAGCGAAATTTCGGCATCGAGTTTCGCCGTCAGACACTGGCTAACCTTCAAGATAAAACAATAATAAAGGAGGCAGAAACTCGTTTTTTACACATCGGATTTATCTTATTTGCCATTTGGTAACGCTAATTTGTGAAGGTCGCTGGGCAATTAGGTAAATGAGAAGGACCTTTGTTGGGATTCCCAGGTTGTTCAACCGCATTTCATTTTTTTTCTGTCCTAATTTATTCTTTATTAAAAATGTATTTAATTTTAAATTTTAAACTGAAAAATGATATTATTTTATTACTGTGCAAATTAAAATTTAATTCCAATCATTCATATTAAATTTAATCAATTTCCTGTAAGCCCAGCACTAATTTATAGAGCTGTTAACTTTTTCCTTGAAAATTGTCCCTAAAACGACCTTGTTCTCAGTTTGAATACGATGAAAGGGTTAAACTACTTGTAAAGCCTCATCAAACCCCTCAACTTCGTCTCTCCTAGGGCGAGCAATTCGTCTCAACTGCCAAAGTTTTAATTGAAGGCGCGCTAAACGAGCGTCTAATTGTCAATGACTCGTCGGGGCGGTCGATTCTCAGTGTAAAGATAATCGGACGGCCTGGGCTTCCTTATCGCCGGCGGATATCCCGCAAATAGCACAGCGCCGCCCTCACCTCTCCAATGCACACACACCGGCCGCACAAATGATCAATACAAAGTCACACAAATCATGCGCTCGCTAGTTCGGAAAATAGCAGGTCAAACAACGCAGCGGTCCCTCGGCGGCGGTTTCGCGACACATTGCAAGCAAACTCGCGGCGAATTGGGTTTATAATTACTGCGGGCGCTGCATGAAAAGGGACCGACACGCGGCTCCGGCTCTATCTTTAGCCGGGGCGAGCTGCATTCGTAGAGAGGCGAGCGCAGCTGTGTGAAAAATAGAGCAATCCTCTCTCTCGCGCGCGCGGCCGCGGGTCCTCTCTTTCGCGTCACTCGATTTTTGATTCCGTCGGTGCTGCGAGATGCAGACGAGACCGCGCTGATTGATTTTTCCTCACTTGACATCAATCTCCGACTTTTGTTTCGCGAACCCTTTTGTTTCGCTTGCTGCATATTTGAATGGGATCACTCGAGGGGCTCGTGAGCCGCCAGAGATAGCGTCGGTCGCAAAAAGCTGTCCTGCCGCTGGATCTGCTCCAGATATTGCAAATCGCGTTCACTCGGGCGAATGAGATTCGATTTTTATTACATTGTAGAAATGTGTGAAAAGGGAAGTGGAAATCGTTTTGGAGAAACCAAGAACTTTTATATTTTCTTACTTTTTCATTTGTCTTGCAAATTTGCAAACTTTTTAATCAAAACTCTTGCAGTTTTATTCACTTATAAAACTCGGAAAAAGTAAAATCCGGCTTAACCCCTTTCAAAAAGCAGTTTTTAATCCGCGTTAAGGCAGATGGCTAAATTCCAGCACTCAGCTAATCTGCCTGAAGCTAACGGTTTTTACGTTTTGCTGAGTGAATTTTTAATGACTCTTTGACCTTTTACGGATTTTTAGAGGTAAATGATGGAATAAAGTAACAATTTTATGGATTTAACAACCTGTTAAATTATGAAAATGTCCAACCAAAAAATCAAGCAAAGCGTAATTTATTAAGCTCTTCCAGCCAAATTTGGACTGGTGCAAAAATTAACAACCATTTTAAGTAAACAAAGTCCATCGAAATCGGTGATTCAAAAATATTCAAATCATTTCTGCCCTGGAGGTAATTCCTCGTTTTAATTTTCAAGAGAAACTCAACTCTTGTGCGTAATTTATTCTCAAATCCTGGCATTTTCCAAAATCCATTTAATGGGAAGCGAAGCTGCGCGAAGGCTGCGGGCGCTCTCGCATATTTTCCCTTTTGCCAATGGAAAAAGAAACAAGCCCAATAAAGCTGCGGAAAACACGGGCAGCATGGCCGCGAGTGCGGCGGCGGCACACGTTTTCCCTCTCGCACAATGGTGCTCCTGTCAAGCATCCTGTTCCGTTTTTGCGTCGCAGAGGGTGCACGTCCCGGCCTATAATCCGAGTGCGCCCGAAATGCAGCCGCGCATTCGTGTATATCCGAGCCAGAAGCAGCCCTGTATGTGTACAGAACAGAGCAGGCAGGCAGGCGAATTCCGTGTTGGGGGGGAATTAAGTTGGAAAAATCGATATAGGCTTGGCTGGCGCTCTCCTTTGCTCGGCGGGTTGCACGATCGCAGGGGCACCACGACGGCGGCGGCCTGACGATGATGGGGCCCAACCCCTCTCGGCCGTTGGGTGCGCGCGGCCGGCGTGCAACCCTTTTTACGCGACGTGGAAGCCGGCCAAGTAACCGCCAGCATCATTTTGAAAGGCTTCTATGCCAAAGAATTTAACTGGTTTCTCTTGAAAAAATTCACACACGACTGCTGTTCCTCGTGATGCTCTCAACGCGGCGCGAGATAAATTTATATCAAGTGTGTGTGTGCGTGCTGGGCCCGCCACTGCCTTTGTCTTCCTCCATTCGCGAGCCTTGACTCAGCCCGTGAAAATTCTCGTCACTATATTAAAAGTTCACCAAGGGTGACGCACACTAGCAAGGCGCACCTTCAAATGCTAATCAATTTACTTTGTCTTCAATGATTTCACTTTGAAACGAAGATTCTTTGCAATTTTAAGCGATTCTCTAGATATTTATAAATCATAACAGGAAATTTATTTATAAATTCACAAATTTGTCCTCTCTCATTCCTTTTTAAAGCATATAATTTTATGTGAAAATATTTATCTAAAAATTAAAATAAATTGCATAATAATTATAATTTTTGCGGGCTTATAAATAAATATTTTTATTCTAACTAAATTTTTTATATTTTTATTGGAATATTTTTGTTTTTCTCATTTTATAAAATATTTCTTCATTTTTGCGTGTTACCTAAGTAAGGGTGGAAGGCCTTTCAAAACAGGTCCACCTCAGTGGCGTAGTCCTCTGGGAAATATTTACGAAAGTCGAAATATAAAAGCGGCTTTACTGCCCCAAAATTAGAAGTTAGGAGGCTATTTTCGCAGCAAGCCGCGCGACCATGCTCGTAAAACTCGCATAATTCAATATACGCTGCGTACGCGCCCCGTCGGCGCGGGCGAACAATGCGCGCGTACCAAGCGCTGCATTATTATTGTATTTTTAGCCGAGCGCGTGCATGCAATCATAACTGTCGCGCCTTAAATAATTGATCGCCCGGGCCGCGACCGAGGGAAGGAAAAAGTGGCCGAGCTCGTTGCTCTCGTTTGCGGTCGGGGCCAAATCGCAGTTAATTTATGTTGTAAATCTGCTTTTTATGATGTACTCTGGCGCGGCGGCGTGAATGAGAAAACGTATGGCGCGGATTATGGCACTTTTCTGTCTTCATCTTAGTTAGGCGAAACGCAATTAGAGGCAAAAAATGACCGGCGAATGCTGAAAAGCGAGCTTTGACTCGGCAGAGCGACTGGTTTATGTCTAGGCCAGCGTACGTGTTTATGAAATGTAGCCCCACTTGATCCCACGCACACCAAGATTAATGAATGAGAACTCTACACTTGCGACGATCGCTTCCTTGTTAGAAAATAAAAAGTTATGTTTTCGAAAATAAATGGACTAATGTTTGCATCTTGACTAATGTTGTATATTAAAAATTAATGGAAAATATCTGCATGCGAGTTAAAAATGCTTGCTGTCGACATCTTTTTACCCTTTTCTACTCTTCCCCTGACCATGGCGATGATGACATTTTGCTATGTTTTTGTGGTGCTCGTTTTACATGGTCTCGTCTCCTGCTCTATCTCTTTTCTTTGCATGAAATGGAACAACCCTTTCTCCGGTGGCGCCATTCTTTTATGGCCACTCGCCACCTCGAGCTTGCTCTCCAGCCCAAATCGAATCAAATCACCCCTCTGTTACAAATCCGTGTAGAGCAGCTCAAGCTCCTTTAGCGACCAAATATTTACTCTCTCTATTTTAACTCTTCCTCTCCTTTATCTCTATCTTTGTGCTCGCCCCAATTCATATACTACGCAGTTTGCGCACTTTTCTAATCGCGAATTTCGTTCCGCAGGCGGATCAGTTGACCGAGGAACAAATCGCCGAGTTCAAGGAGGCGTTCTCCCTATTCGACAAGGACGGCGATGGCACCATCACCACCAAGGAGTTGGGCACAGTCATGAGGTCGCTCGGTCAGAACCCCACCGAGGCCGAGTTGCAGGACATGATCAACGAGGTCGACGCTGACGGTACGAACCCTTCCCTATTTTGTCTTAAGATGAAGAGCAGATTTGGAGACCCTCTCGAATCTTCATAAATATTCATACCACCCCAGTTTAAAGTGGAACTGCTGAATTTGCGACGAGCTTAGGCGACCCGCCGGAATGGCGTTGCATAAGTAACAGGCGGCTGCAGTCTGATGCAAAGCGGCAGCTTCCGGCTGGATTTGCGTCTTTCATCAGCGGCGAAACGCTGCCGGCTGCTTTTATTCTGCGCGACGCAATGCAGCCCAGGAGAGATTATATACCCACCCCTTTAGAACGACGGGGTTGTTATCTCTCGCAGTGCGATGAAGTGCATTCTTTCGCAATTTCGCTACCTCGCAGCCGTCCTTTTTTTTCTTTTGAAATCCCCAGCTCTGCTCCACATTGCAGACAAAAAAAATTTTTGCTGCTCTTTTCTCGTCGAGGGTGTGTATTGATTTTTGTTGAACTCGCGAATGTTGCTTGCAGGTAACGGCACAATTGACTTCCCCGAGTTCCTCACAATGATGGCCCGCAAGATGAAAGACACAGACTCAGAGGAGGAAATCAGAGAAGCCTTCCGTGTCTTCGACAAGGACGGCAACGGCTTCATTTCGGCCGCTGAGCTCAGGTAACCACCCCTTGCTTACTTGATTAACTCCACACGGTGGTTGGAATAGAGGCCGTTAAAATTCAAATTACTCCCATAAAGTGCGCGCGGCCCATAAAATGCATCACCTCGGGCTTAATTGTTATTCATTAGGCGTGCTCATTGTGCCAGTGCCACGGTTAAAGAGCTGTTCAGATTTATTGCACGGCCAAAGGACCGTACCTGACTGAACGAGATTGTTGTAATTTAGTGGGTTGGCTTTGGAATTAACGTGAGGCGGCCAGTAAAAAAACCACCTCCGACTGATTTATTTGTCCGCACACCTGCCATCTAATTTTTTTCGCCGGCCTAAAAACGCCAGTGGCTCTTGCGAATTTAATTGGACCGCTTTTGACGTGGTGGTGTTCTTTGGTTTTGCAGGCATGTGATGACAAACCTAGGTGAGAAGTTAACAGACGAGGAGGTGGACGAAATGATCAGGGAGGCTGACATTGACGGCGACGGACAAGTCAACTATGAAGGTGAGAATTCGCAACTTGTTTGTGTGCCGAGTGCTTTAAATTTACTGATTGGTGGTTATTCTTCTCTTTGCAGAATTTGTCACAATGATGACTTCAAAGTGAACACCTAATTCCTAATGAATCAAAACTAATTGTATGCAAGAAGAAGCTTAAATGATTGGTCAGAACAGAATTTTGACAAATTCTCCTTCACGTACACGGGGGATCTTACCGTACATAACAAAACAACACCGAAATATAAAAGTGCTTATTTCTTTCATCTAAAATGCATCAAACAAGAAATCACAAGACAAAACCCCCTCTTTGAAATATAATATACTGATATGAACTTTTTGTATAAAATACGTGTCTCTGTGTATATTAAATGTTTTATTATAAATGAAAAAAGCTATACTTTAAGTTGTTCTCTCCTTATTCTTCTACTGTGTGTAGATTCGATTGATTCACATTGTGTATAAATACATTGATAAAAGAGAACTTTGGATTTTGTTACGAAGTGACTTGTTATGCGCGGACTACTTGTACATCACTTTTATGAGCAAGTCTGTGTAATTTTTAATTGCGAAAGTCAGTATTATATACTTGGACATAATAACTTTATTATAGTCAAGAAAATTTGGTTGTTTGGTTGATTGCTTCTGTTTGTTGATGAACTTGGAACAAGTAATAATTATTGTTTGTTCACACTTCTCGAGGTAGTAGCATGTTTAAAAGATTGATTACAACGGCAAATACGATACAATGCAAACATATAATTTCAAATTTCCCAATGCATCATCAAACACAATAAATTAAAAAAAGTTACAGATGAAAATGAGCGAAACAACATCCCAACAAATGCTTTGCCCTTAATCACTCTATTATACTTTGATTGTGTGATTGTGAAATGTATTTTGCAATCGCGGACACCCTCTTCATTTTTTCGATAAATTAATTAAATTGATCTTGCGAAGTTTACAGAAAAAATGTGTATATCAAACAAGCATATTGTGACTACGTGTAAGACGAAAGGTAACTTTTTCAATGCATTTTTCATCATTGATCGCAATCCAATGGAAGTAAATTTGTAGTCTTAAAAATTAAGAGGGAAAACAATGATAACCTAAATCATAGGATGCCTATAAATATAAAAACAAAAAACATTTTTTCCAATTTAAAAAAGGATACATTAAGAAACCTCCAATTAATTAACATTCCACTGTGCTATACTTTCAGCACATTTTTATTTCCTTTGCTGTTTGTGTGATTCTTCAAAATTCAAAGAAAAACCAATCAACTTTGTATTTGCACAATGCAAAGGAGACAATTGATTTTTACTCTGTACTTTAAATGAAGCATTCAATGATGATGACATAAAAAATATTGTTCGATTGCGTCTTGTTACTTCATTATGTACGATCATTCTTGTATGCTGTTCTTGAATAAAACAAAACTGTTGAAAACTCTGTGGTGCTGTCTCAAGAAACAACATGTTGCAAAGTAAAAAGATGACTTACAAACCATATAATACAATTATACGCTTGGTTGCATAAAGAGAGGACAAAAAAGGCGTCACTCTTCTTGTTGTCAACGACGAAAATTGCAAGCAATTTTCATGTCGGCTCTTTCGGTAGAGAAAACTGAGAGAGCGGCATTGCGTTGTGTTCTTGATTTATTTGCAGGGTAAAATTGGTTTGGTTCGCGTAAGAGAGCTCTGAACGAGACCAGGCGGTATTGAGAAAACAAAATTAAAGTCTCAAGTCAATGACAGACAATTTTCACGAAAATCCGAAGTGACAAAAGGATGACGCGGTCGGCCAAGTGTTTCAACTTGGCGTCCTCGGATTTATTACTTGTGTATGCTTAACAAAAATACTACAAAATTATTGTACCATAATTATTTATTATTGTAGATTAATTTTAAAACAATTAAAGTGTGAAAAATACAATAAAAATTACAAAAATCTCCAAAAGGCCAGTTTATTTTTTCTCTTGTATTCCAGATTACACAAATAATTTACTGCGCCGCACACCAATTTGGGATTGTGCAGCATGTCCATTTTTGGAGTATTAATTTTCCGTTGGCCATGAGCGCCGATTCGATCTAATCGGTGCGTCATTTGGCTGAAATTGCAGCAATTATTATTTCATTCTTGTCTGCACTGCTGCGCATTAGGACTGCGGCGAATAGAATATCGTGATGTCAGTCTTCAGAAAGCGATTGACTTTGAAATAGGGTCGGCATAATTTATTTCTCGTATTCCACGCACGCATCTAATTCAAATTCAATTTCGATCGACAAATTGGGGAAAATCCGGTCATCTGGATCTTGATCCATGAAGCGGAAAACCGTAAAGTCTATTACGTAATTTTTATAGATTAAAAGTTTCCTCTGGGTAAACCAAGAGAGTCATAAACCATCGCGATAAAAATTTGCTGGTCAAACTAATTTAATTTTATATATATGAATAAAAAAACCTAATGTTTTTCTATCATCATCCGCTATCCGGTCCATTCATTATTATTTCCTCCATTTAATATCTCTCTTCTCCGCAGCAAAAAATCGTCCGGCATTCTCTCTCTAATTTCCCCAAAATCCCATGAGCTCAATTCGACTGACCCGCAGCTTTTTGTCGCCGCGAGAGATAACAAAGACGATCCAGCAGGGCGGCCGTGACCTCTGCCCCAGCGGCGCATATAATGTGTAGTAAATCCCGATCATAAATAAGCCTCTTTATCAATCGTTCGCTGACCGACTGACGGACCGGAAACCTCAACAAAGTAATTTCACTTCGCCCGACGAGGAAAGAAGAGCAGCCAAAAAGCTCGACACACGCATTGCAGAATCCAGAAGATTTGGCAACCAACTAGAGCTATTTTATTGTTTCGCCGTACTGTTTCACTTTATATATTTTTTTAACTGCAAGAGGAAAAGCGAACGAAATGAGGATGAGCGACGTGATTTTCCGACTGCTGGCGGCGGCGGCCTGCTGCTTTTTTGCATGCGGTAAGTCGGTTTCATTTTGCTATTTACTTGACCCGCACTGGGTGTAATCCATCAATTTCACCGCGGAATGTGTCAAAACACGCCCCGAGCCGAAAACACTTTTGATATAGCCCAGCGCAAAAACAGGCTTTCTGCGCGGCGAAATCATTAACAAAGATTTTGTCTCGACGCGGGCGGTAAACAAAGTAATCGTAAATCATGCTGGCCTTGGATCGCTACGGGCCGATTTGTGCGTTTCCAGAATTTTATCACCGCGGGGAGGAAAGCAGTGAATTTGCATGCATTTGGGCCGAGCGTGTGTCGACAGCTCGTGGTGCTGCATGCAGGTGTATACTGAAGGTGCAGAGCTTAACATAAATCTGCACGCACGGTCGATTTCCCTCTCAACGTGCGTTGGTTCCTGCAACGGGTACAAACACTGGAGAGGGTTAGCGCGTGGTTAATCTTGAGAGTGTGGGAAGCGAGCAGCTCCATAAATCACTTTATTCACTTGCAGAAAAGTGGGTGGATAATTTGCTTTCACGATAAAGAGACGAAGGTGCTTCAAGATGAATTGCGCTGCATTAAGCAAAATTTATCTTGCAGCCCAAGTGCTTTCAGCTAAGATCAGTCAGTTTTTTTTCGCGTTTACTCGCACCTCTTGAGCCGTGGGCTCAAAGAAAAACAGATTCAAATTAGCATGCGCAAGTAATAAATTTTATCATGGATACACTTACAATTAGTAAATAATCATATTTTTCTAACGCTTAACATAATGAGTGTGGCAAATTTGTTTTTATTATTTGTTCATAATTTTTATTACTGAGAAAACAATTATGTATTACATGAGTGTATAATTGCTTTCAATGACGTATATAAGGCGCATAAAACGGAGTAAAAATTTATTTTAAATAGTTGTAATTAACAATAATACATTAAAATCGAGCACAACTTTAAAAATAAAATTTTCATTACTTTATAAATTGAATGTGCTTAAAAAAATTGTTAATTTTTATTTCATGTCAGGAAACAACTCACTAACAGAAAAATTTATAACCCCTGAAATTTCTTAATGTAGGCAACCTGTCAAACTCTGAGGACACGCATGTTGTATACACAACCATGATCCCTATTGTATTCATGTATCATATTTTCAACAAATTATTTTCATGCGTGACAATTCATAGAATTACTTTTAAAATAGGTGCAAAAATACTAACGAACAAAAATGTTTATGGCATATTCTGCAATTACGTCGTCCATGTAACTTCTTCGTACCGCATCTTTTTCGGTGACCTAATTATTTAAAAAGCGCTTTGTTCTATTGTTTCAGGCGTCGCAAATCCAGTGGAGCCAGACAGACTTGAAGCGGTACGTAACTAAAATACACGTTTGCAGACTATAGTAGCGTAATCCTGCAGACAAAGAAAGTGGCGTGTTCCTCTCCGGAAACTGATTAAACGGAATTGTCTTTTGCAGTTGTGCCCGGGCCACGCCAATCTCTCCACTCTGAGTAAGTGCAAAAACTTTCCCGGCCGCCGTCGCCGACGTTACTTTCCACCAGAGTAATAATGAACGTGTGTGTCTGCAGAGCAGCAAAATGTGCTTACTCGGCTCGGCGACAAATTTTACTACATCAGCTTCCACGATGCAAATCAGGGCGGCCTGGAATTTAAGGTACACATAAAGATTTTTCGCCGTCCTTTTACTACTTTTGGAGAATGTGAAATAAAGCGGAAATTAAGTACAGAGGCATTTTATGACGCAGAACGTCTGCAAATTTTTGACACACATACACAAAATACTACGCCTTTAACCGCGACCCAACTTTTTTAATCTACGCAACGTGTACCCTTTGTGAATTATTCCAACCCCAGCCACTGGCAAATGTAATTAATTTCATTCGTAGAGTAACTGTGAACTTTTTCTTTTTGTTTACTTTTATTGCGGGAAGGAACTTTTTCGAGGGAAAAAAACAAGATTGGAGAAGTTTTTTCTCCATGCAGGGGTGAAATAATATTTGCATTTGAGCGGAGATTAGATTTGCTGGCGAATTTGGAGCAATTCAACGCCTCCCATTGCAACACCATTTCGCCTTCCGGGGGATTTATGAGCTTGTCTAATGTTTCTTGTGGATTTAGTTGAGCTGGAAGGAAGCAACAGAGTGGTGTCAGCGACACGCCATGGAATTAGTCAGCGTGGACTCGCACACCGAATCAGCCCTTCTGCGGCAAGAGATGCTGCGATACGCCGAGAATCTAACAAGCCGTGAGAAGAATTAAGTTAAGCGGAATTGAAATTAATAATCTGCTTTCAGCCGTGCCCGATTTGTACTGGAGTAGTGGACGGTGGGATTCGGGCAATGATTTACCGCAGGTCGAGATTGGGGGCGTTGTGCGCGACAGGTTCAGGTGGACAGGTAGCGGCGACTGGATTAGAGACGCTGAGATCTTCAAAGCCACAAAGCCAGGCGAGTGCATCGTGCTCAATACTTACTATGTCTACATCAAGCCCGACGGACGGATTAAGAAATACGCAAGAGACTGCGAGCGGAGGTCTAGCTTTATTTGCGAACTGGAGAGGTGGAATTGTCTCGATTAGCAAACAAACACCTGAGTCCGATTCAAAAGCATTTTTCGCAATTTTTTATTCGTCAATAATATTTTCCGGCGAAAAAATGTCAAATATACAATCATAATCAAATCCTGTCCGGTTTTAGAATTTAGCAAATAAAATTTTTAATTATTTCTCCTTTTGACTCATCCTTCATCAACAGCAATACATTGAGTAATGAGATAGATCAATTAATTATGGAGGTATTTTAGTTCTGCTCGTACACTGCTTAAAAAATTACACATCTCCTGCCAGACAAACTTGGGAAACAATAGAGTAACGATCACTAATTTTACGTTTCTGGATCACAGATACTATTATATTCTTCAAAATTAATTAATATTATTAATTTTCTTTTAAGTTACGTTACACATCTAGGAAAATTGCTCATTAAAGAGGACATTGCATCGCTTGGTTGTGTATTAATCTGATACTGGCGATATTAATTAGATACAGTGATATCTTTCCCTACACAACAAGATTGAATATTATCATTATGTTATATGGTTTATGTACTCTTTGCATTTTTTTGTATATAATTTTACTTCGTTATTTTCATAATTTCATAACATTTCACTCTTGCTCATTTTTTTTTTTTTTAATTGATAATTTTAAGTTTAGTTAAATATTTCCCATGTTATAGCTCATTTTCAATCAATCGGATGAATAAATTGTGAAAAAATATAGATAGAGTGGGGGAGATTCAACATTATTTTCACTTGTTTTTTCAATCAGCTCAAATTGATACATTTTCCGGCATGATTGATTTTATGGTTCATAAATTTAATCGGTTGATGGTCACAATATTGCTCTTTTTATGTATGAACGCGCCTAGTTTTTGTTGCTAGGCCTACGTACTGTGCAATAAATTATAACAAGGACATTGAAATTTGTTTTGATTATGCCCTTAATGCGTTCTAGGCAACGCTCCAAAGCTTTTAAAAAGCCATTTCGCGAGCGCTGGTGTATATGTTTAAAACAACCGAGCGTAGAAATACATTTATACCTTGTAAAAGTTCCGTCTCTAATTGTTTTAAATTCAACGCACATTAAAAACACAAGCGTGCAACAACTCTGGCAGGTAATTGGATAATCGATGCCAATAGAATTCAAAATTGCACATTGCTGCAATTAGTTACATGAAATACATTTACATGTAATAATGTGACCTAATTCTTGTCTATGTTAATAAATAACGTTTATCGACAATAAATTTCATTTGCAAACTGTAATCTGCAATAATTAATTGGAAGCAGCTTATTTTTATTTTGTTTTGCCCTCACGCTACTGTTAATATGATATAACATTAAATATAGACAAACAGGCAAAGAGTGAGACAGGGATGAGTCTAATGAAAATTGACTCGCTGCTCTAATCGACGAACGATAATAAAGTGTCCTTCTTGCAGATGCTTACTTGGCATACCTAGCTTAAATTATTCTCAATACATCTGATTGAGACCGATATCAAGTTGCTCTTTTTCAGTGATCACCGCGTGGTAAAGTTAAAATTCACTTGGAGCAAAAGATGTTTTTGACATAACTATTTTATTCTACATTGTGAGGTTTAAATATTAACTGAAGATCACAGATTTTGTAATGCTAATATCACATGCATGTGAAATTAGCGCAATTAAAATTTGATTACTTTTACGTTTTAACCCTAATTGAACGCAAATATATAATCGAATGCACTTTTTGATGAAAATTGCCATGTATCATTTATGGCTTTTAGAAACTTTCCTGCTTATTTAGCCATTCAGAATTCCAACAGTGGAGTAGATTCTAAACTCATTAAAATACTGTCATGGAGGCTGGAGGAAAATGCATAACACTAGATAAAGGTTCGTTTATATGCTTCAGTGTTTCAGATCTTTTGAATATTAAATTACAAATTTGTAAGAGAATTGAGGAGATAGATTCTTTATACAATGGTTATGACTCGTTGAAGTGAGCTATATTTTTAAAACAAATTACAGTTGTAGGACTAGAAAACAAAACTATTTACAAGAGATTTCTCCTCAAAACTTCTAACATGAAGTCCTAAATCAAACAAAAATCACAATAGAAATTAGCAATTTTTGTATAACTAATTTAAGATAATATCAAATATAGCTCTCAAAAACAAGGACAACGGGGCCAAAACTGAATTGCTTATAATTAGCTTCACAAGTTTCTCTAATTCCTCCACCTAAGAACATACCTTAGTTGGCCACCTGAAACTGGTATACTGGCTGTGGCATCGGCATTCGATCAGCACTCACATTCCGGAAGTGCTGGACTACCCCCTGAACAATGGTCTCAGCATCAATCTCCGAAGTGTGGGTCAAGTAGCAGACGTCGTTTTGCTTCTTCCAGTGCATCTGGTAGCGCAGTTCGGCAATGAAGCGCTCTTCGCCCAGAGTTTGGTAGCGAAAGCCAAGGGTGGCGTAGTCGTAACCAATGGTTAGCAGGTCCCACTTGATGCCACCAGCAACCTTCCAATTGTTGATGTGGGCGACAAGGGGTTTCATATACTTGGACTTTTCAATAAGACGGCGCTTCCATTCGACATAGTAAGCCATAACTCGAGGAGTGTAGCAGTAACGTTGAATCTACAAATAAGTTTTTTTTTATCAGCAAAATGGAATAATTAAAAAAATTGTTTTCTTATGAAATGTCGTTTTCGAACCTGGGGGATGTTGAGTGTCAAGGGTGATCCAAATGCAGTTTCCAAAAGACGATAAACGGCCTCGGCATCGCTGGCAGCATCATGTTGTTCAGTCCGAGGTCCAACGATTGCCGTGTAAAGTGACTGCAGGGACAGCACAGGAAATTGTCCCCGCATTTCCATAGAGAAAGGTCCAAAAGAGTCGCCAAAGCCGATTACCTATAAAAATAATAATTTAAAAATTAAAACCCAAAATGCACATTATTTAAATTCAAACTATTTACAATTTCAAAAAATTTGCCCTCCAGTTTGTGCCTGGTGAGAGCCTGCAGGAGTACCGGGACATCCAGTTTGATGGTTGAGTGGCTGATGAGGACCACTCCGGTGTGGTTGCCCTTGGTGGTGTACAGCCAGGCCATGAAACGCTGCAAGGCCAGGCGCTCATCCACAGAGTCGAGGATTTGACGGGAGACGGTGTCGATAAGAACGCGGCGACCTTCATGCACCACCACCTTTAAGGAAATAATTTAACATTATTTATCACACACACACACACACACTCAAAATAAGTCTCACCTGAAGATGAATTTTGCCAGCGGCCTCATGGTTAATTGATTTGGCTGGCAGAACGTACTGGTTGAAAGGGTTGTGGCCCAGACAGAAGGCTCCAATTTGACAGACTAGATCGTCAAAGTGTCTGTCTGTGGTCTCTAAGTCCCAGGTTACAATGGCATAGTCGCCAGGCCTAACGGTCTCTTCAGGTGGTGGGAACATAAAGTCGCCATTCATTTTCTGAAAATAAAACCAAAGGGGTTAATTTAATTAATTATTTTTTATAATTTCACTTGGGCAAAAAGTATATCAAAACTTAAAAATAGTAGAGAATTTTGGCTTTTGGTTATTGATGAATAAAAAATACAATGTCAAGTAAATGTATCCAGGTAGAGCTCAAATCAAAACCACAATACGAAAAGAAAAAAGGTTTTAAAATAAAAAGGAGAGAAATATTAAATTCATTCTTGTTCCATACAACAGGCAGAATTTTATTTCTGTCAGACAAAAGTCAGACTATGTATTGATCGACTTTTCTGTTTGTGAAGAAGACGCAAAAAGAGCATTGAGCAATGTGTACACTTGGCGCGGAAAAAATTTCATCAGATTCACATCTGCTGGGATTTACACATTTTTACGAGTGCTTTTCCGTAAAAAAGCCATCACGCGTTTTATGCACACCGGAACATATATTTTTTTTACGACTCGGGTAAATTAGTCTCAACGAGTGTCCCGAGCGCGAGATCAGAGGCACGTGCGTCCTCCGTCCTCTCTACTGGTCCACATTCACTTGACGGTCAATTATTTGCCTGTATCCCATGATCAATATATTCTCTCCGCGGACAAACCACGCCCTACCATCGTCGCAAACAACATCAACAAACCCTTGCCAACCGTTCGGCACCTTGGCCGACGATGGTCCCGAGTCGAATTAGGCCCGAAACCAGCCAGAGAAGAATCGGCCCGGCCGGGAAAGCCGCGGTTCTCTTCTGGCTTGGAGGCGCTCGCTCGCGTGGGAGGGCATCGCCCTGGACCAAAAGCACACTTTTCCAATCGCGTTTACTCGGCCGGAGATTGCCGAAAGGTCGAAATTTTTCAACATTTCAGCGGAGGGTTACCTTGGGAAGCGGAGGCCCCTTCTGTAGCCGCCTTGTAGTTCGTCCGCGAGCAGAAAATCAAAAACAAAAAGGTCGCCGGCAAATTAAAATGTGAACTGGCGACAGTGGTGTTACCAGCTGTTCTCGACGGGTCTGGCCGCTGATTGGCTGGCGAGCAGCCGAGCCCGACTCTGATTGGTCGGCACAAGAGACGAGCACCAACTTTCAAACGTGCCTGGCTGGCTGCGTGGTGCTCTGCCCTTGCAATGCGTGTGGGCGAACGAGATGGGAAATAAACTCGTAACAACTCTGTGTGGCGCACTGCAAAAGTGCGACGAGACGCAGTTCTGAACAGGAAAATGGGTCGTTCCGAGTGCAGGCAGATAGATCACGTAACTTGCTGGCCTCGTTGCACTGGAACATTTGCACAAATTGCACTTTTGATTAAAAAAAAAAAATTGATTACTCCGGGATTACTGTTTTCATGACGTAAAAAGAGGATGAAGGCAGAAAATAGGATAATATCCTGCATTTGACCGTTTGAAAAGCTAAAACAAAATATTTAATGCGAGAGGAAATTTTATCTTAAAAAAATTCCGCACTCGTAAAAAACACATAAAGATAGTTGACAAGAATTTTGTATTAAAATTAATTTTTATCGCTTCATGGAAATAAAAAGTTTTTTATTCTAGTCTACAATCGGCTTTTCATTTTTAGTCATTTCTATGGGATGTATTGTTTTTTCTCTATGAAAAAAAAACACGGAGGAAAAGCTTATTTACTAGCTGTATTAACAGTAAGTAATGAAAAAAAATTGCGAAGAAATAATTTCAAATTTCTTTGCTGATTTGCAAAAAAAAAAAAAAAATTAAAATTTTTAATTCAATAATTAAACACAGACTGAAATAATGTAGATGAAAATAATTTGGAATCTCAAATCTCATTTTGCTTCATTTTTTTAAATTTATTCAAAGTTGATAAATTTTTATTTTACATTCTATTGTAGATGAACAAATGTTTGCAAAATTTCATATTCTATCAATACTTTTATTAGATTTTGCTGAAGTTTAGGTCCTTCTTTCCAAATAAAAACGTATTGTTTAGACATCAGTAATTGGCACCCACTTTATAGCATTGGTACCACTATTTTTTCAAGTTTGATTCATCACATTATCATCATTATATCTTTTCAATTATATCAAAAGTATTACAGTTTTACAATTAAAAATCATATGACATTTTTGCATTAATTTGAGATAAAAAGTAAATCAGATATATAACTTTTAGCCTTTTAGGAGTTAAGCTTTCGCGAATTTATATTCTTTTCGTAATCCAAAAATATCAAAATTACACATTTTAGAATTTTTTGATACAATATTATTTAAAAATGATTAATAAGAAGAAAAATATTACCATTTTTTTTTAAATGAGTATAATACACAGAGCAAATATGCTGGTGATCTCACGTTGAGTCATTTAAGTTAAAAATTTCTTTGACATAATTATTACATTCACAATAAGAGAATATAGTAATCGTAGGCCAGCAACTGTGGTTTTATCACAGATTGCGGAAAACGTTGGATTTTCCTAAACTTTTTCATGAACATCTTTTAATGATCGAACTTTAACTTTTTACTACATATAACTATTAGCTAATTACTCTAAATTTAACGAATTACTTGGTTCAAGGGCAGCAAGTTCTGTAAATTACATATTATGTTAAAATGACATCAAAGAGAACACCGTTTGTTTTTGCATTGGAAATTGAGGACATTTTAATTTACCGGGTCATGAATAAGAATTGACGTTTGCAGTCACATATCATTGGATGATAGCGGTACTCAATAGGGAAGTATATTTCTCTGAAAACATTAGCCTTTCTTCCCTTCATAATTTTATGGGTTTAATTCCAAATTGGAATGTTTCTAACTGGATAAACAATGCAATAACTTTTCTTGCTAATCACAAACTCATGGATAACACAAAACTTGAAATTTCTAAGAAAAAGGAATAATGTTTTACCGCTATTTAATTTTTTGCCTTTGACTTGATTGAGATCTTTGTACTAGATTGGGAAAGACTAATTTTATATTAAACTTTCAGATGCTGAAAAATGAAGAGTCCAACTAGATAATAACATAATTATTGCTCTTCTACACGCTAAATAAGTATGCACATAACTCAATAATTATTAAAAAATTGATCACTTTGCTTTGTTGATGTGAGGATCAATTTAGAATTTCAATATAATATCTAAAATTATAGTCATAGACAGCAAAAAATGTTTTAACAAATACCACGTGAACCCTCAGGGTGTACAAAAACATCCTTTACGAAGGAATAATTAAAAAGCATCAAAAATCCAAAGTGGCGCAGATCTTGCTAACACAACATGAGTGACTAGAAATTTTGCTGAATTTGAAAAATCAAATCGCAATAACTTGCGGGAACATCAATTACATTTCTTTTCGTGGTGCTTTCGAGCGTAGTGCAAGGCGATCTCCAAATGCTGGAATCCGTCACCAACGAAGGAGCAGAGTATGAAAAGGCTGCTGGTGGCCAAAACCCACATTTGGAACCACCACAAGTTGAAGATGGCGTAAACGGAGAACAGAGTGAGCGACGTCCATGCCAAGAAGGACAAGTGCAAAGAATTCACAGTCTTTGCTCCCGCCGGCCTGTCATGGATTCGCGGGCAATCCTAATGAATGAACAAAAAACATTATAACGAATTAAAAAACCTCTTAAAAAATAAACTCTTATTGTTGAAGTTAATATGTGGAATGATAAAAATAAAATAAAAAATATTAAAGAAATGGCAACACTAACGAATGATGAAATGAAGACGCACGAGTATTAAAATATAGGCTTTTTTTAGTTTTTTTACAAAATCGAGATTCACAAACTTAAATCTTACAATTTGATGGTATTTGAGAAGAAATTTTTTTAATCTTTTTTTTCACGAGACATGAGCATTTATTTAATTAATTTTTTACTAGAGAATTAGTGATAACTAGCATAAGAAATTAAACGAAATTATGATCATGAAATTGCAAGATAATTTTTAAACATTATTTGTTTTTATTCAAGTAATCAATTTTTGTTCTTGGGAACATGGGAGACAAGCAGGCCAAGCAGCCAGATTAGCCAGAAAGCAGACCAGACAGACACAGAGCGGCGGCGGGAAAAGATGGAATTGGCGTGGGAGGGGGAAGAGGGGGTCGCGAAAGAAGAATGAGCAGGAACAAGCAAGGTGGAAGGCGAAAACCAAAACAAACAGGACCGATTGACTGGAAGTGACAGCTGCGGACGGTCATAGTTAAAATGTCGCGGTTGGAATGAGCCTCATGCTCAGGTGAATGAAAACTAGAATGCCCGACATTTGACATTGAGATGGAAATCGTTCCAGTGATGCACCAAAACCGCAGTGCAGGAGGGAATTGGCTCGAAGCTCGGACCGTCCGCAGCTTTTCTCCAGTCGTTTAACGTCGTTGAAACTCACCTGCGGAAAACTTTGCGTTTTGTGGAACTCTTTGAGGCTCTCCTCCTTGTCTTTCCACACCTGGCACAGCCATTGTCTGTAGCCAACTTCGTCGAGAGGTAGCGAGTCGATCGGGTGTCTGCAAAATGAATATAAATCAGAGGTGAGATTGATTGAATATTTTTTTTTGTGGAATGAAAATTTTTATGTCATGCTTTTTATATTAGATATTGCCCTAAAATTAAAATTTTGCTTTTTCTTTCAAGTTTATTTAATTCTGTATTAAATTATTCTGCTTAATTTTTCCAGTGACATTTACATTCGTCTGGGGGATTTAATGGTGCCCACAGAATTGGACAAAGCCCCAAGGTATGTGAAAATTCCAATATTTTTTCGTCTGATTTCATTTTTAAAAGTCAGCTTAAACTTCATGTGATGATTTTCCCCATTATTTTTCGGCCCAATTTATTTTGCTACCTTTTAATTTTAAAATGAACCTCTTCTGGGAAAATGCCCTTCAACATGTCCTTCTCGGTTTGGGGCACCGTTTTCGGATATGCGATCGTCAAGTCGTAGACGGCATCCAACTGGCCATCTGCAAATGAAAATTCTCAATCAAATTCCCGGCAAGTTTTCACAGCGGAATTCCAAACGCACCGCCTCGCAATCGCTGGCCGAGAAATGCGAAACCCGTGGTCTTTGGATGAAGAACCTTCTCATATTTTGGGAGGTTGTGCTTGTCTGCATACCTGTCGCTACTCGCTTTGCTTTGGCGAGTCAAATCGGTGCCCTCGGGGAAAATCAAAAGCTGGAAAGAGATAAAAAAATATTATTTAAATTAAAAATTATCTTCAAAGTTTATTCCATCAAACATTAATGTTCATAAAAATTCATGGCGTTTTAGAAATCCTATAAAATTAATTAACATAAAATTTAAATAAGCGCCGAACCTGGCATGTGTGGCCAATGTCTTTAAAGTAGTCCAGCACTTTGTTCATTAACTTCTGATCCATTTCCCACGAACGGTGGATGTAAAGGAAGCAAGTCATTTGCATGACCCAGCCTGGAAAAGAGAGAAAGAATAATAATAATATCTCATCAAAGTGCAGTGATCACTCACTCGCGTGTTAATAAAGCATATTATATAAATGAGCAGAGATGAGAAATCGATTGGCTCGTTAAACGAATTCTATTTGGTCGAGTTCAAGCGACGCCAAAAGGCTGTTTGTAGTTTATCACGCTTAATTGCCGTCATAAATATTTTATGTTGAGCAGATGGGAGAAGTCACTTATTTGATCTATTAGGGGACATTTAGTCGATTTATTGTCTTTAGTCATTCGATTGATTTCATCCATTGGCATTTTTATTACTACGTGGCCTTAGAGATCATTATTTAATAAAATGCCTTTCTCAATATCAAGAAAAGTTGCTTTGGAATTTTGCTAATATTAGATTCATGTTGATATGCATGATACCATTTCAAGGAAAGACTCAATCGATGCCTAGCAAGAAAAATATCAGTCTCACGCCTTTGAACTCGTAATGAGGATGCTTTGATGTGCATATTGCAAATGAGCAAAGAGCCTCTGAACACAAAAAGTGACGCTCACCTGGCCCTGGAAAATGCCGCACAGCACTTTTTAGCACGAATTTGAGTCGGTGGGATGGCGGACTGGAGCCGTGAAACATGGCTGCCCACAGGTAGTTCCAGTCCAACCGGGTCCGGTGGTTCATCACAATTAGGGCCCGGTCCTCGGGGTCTACTTTGTCGCCTACGACCACTATCCTGGTGCCCATCATAATTTCCATCAGAGCCTGAAATGAATAAATATGGAGAACACTTAGCAAAGGACTAATTTAATTAATTTTGGGCAAATTATGAAAATAATCCGACAATTAGGTATCTGTAAATTTATATATTTAATTAAATTTGGTGGTTGTTAACAGCGGAACCAGTTTCAATAAACAGAATCATTATCCAAAAATAAATCAAGCTTGCGACTAACAAGTGTTCTGTGAAAAGGCGATTTGCTGGCCGAAGCGGGTGGGCAAATAATGAATGAGTTCTGCGACCCCTAATTGGCTCCATTGTGAATTGTCACATGCGACAATCAAGTATATACGAAGCGAGGACCCAAGAGCATTCCTTCTTTAGCCGCTCGCCGTCCAATAAGCTGACGAGAGATCCTTATTTTCTATCGAGGGCAAAGGGAATTCTCGTCGAGACCAATTCAATATAATAAATGAGAGGCAATAAAATTCTTAATGGGAGATCCGACCGCATCTTTTAAATTTAGAATTAATTATTATACTTTGTGGTACTTTTGGGTTTATTGTCTGTGCTATTGCTCGATTTATGTGAATAATCATAAGCAATCATATAAATCCTTAAAAAAGAATACATGAAAAAATTGAAGTTTCTCTTAAAAATTATTTTATATTTGTAGAAATGTATATTTATTCTGGTAGAATCTTAACTTAAAATTTGTTTTAATGCTCCGTTAAAAACTTTAAAAAACGCATAATTTAAACAAATTAAATTTTTATACATGAAATCTTGCTTTTTATGTTTAAAAATATTAAAATCTTATTTTAAAGCATTAGACTGATTTTCGCAAGAAATAAATTTGCAGAGCAGTGAAGTCACGTATTTTTTTTTTTATCTTAAATCGGATCGTTTTCGACGGACACGTCCATTATTATTTATGGTCATCCTGTCGATTTCAAATCCCCGCATCCCGCGCAACACACAGGTCGGGCAGGTTGCATGGCTCGACGTGGAAAGGGGTTATTTATTCGCGCATTTTTTGTTGGTCTCTTTATCTGCGTCCGGCGTGATTTATTGGGTACTCACCGTTGGGTAGGTTTCCCAAGCACCGAAAATGATTTCGGTAAAAGCTCTGTAGTGTCGCGGAGATAAAACCAGTAGCGGCAATAATGGGCAGTAGAGCAAATAAAATCCAGCCAAGATGCTGAGGTACCACAGCAGGCAGAAGGTGACGCCCCGCAAGTACCCGAGCGCGCCACCTGCTCTTGGGCCGGCTGCAAAGAAAGAAAGAAAAGTCGTAAGCGTTAGATAAGACACCGTAAAAAGCAAATCTGCACGTGCTGCACTGCGGAAAACATAAGAAAATGTGCACCGCCTGGCTTCTGGAAAAGCGCCTTGTCTCTTTTGTGCATTGAAGGCGGATTGTAGAGGTTTTGTGCCATATTTTTTCTTCTCATAACGTTTCTATCGCACTGTACAACAAAATATAAGTAGAAGCTGAAGGGCTTGTATGCTACGTTCAGGAAAGTTTAAGTTGAATAATTACTTTTACCATTTTTTTATAAAATTAAGATGTCTTTACCGCCAGAAAGCAATTTTAGCATTTCCCAGCAATGCCAACAATAATTTTGGTATCGCCAAAAATCAATAACTTTATTTTTCTTATAAACTTTATAAGATTCAAGATATTTTGAAAAGTTCAAAAAACTTTTTCAAATCTGCAGTCTGCACAAAAATATTGCTTGAAATAATCTAAATAAATTCAATGTTGGTTGGCCGTCTCGCCTTAAGTGTTGGCGTTCGCTTTCATCGAATTTTGATTTTTCATTCACGGACCATTGGAAATGGATGTGGGCAGAGTGATTGATCAAGCAATTGGCGCGGGCGCGATTGATTTCTTGAAATATCTCAGCACTGGGCGTGGCAGCGTATTTATTCGTGATTGATGCTGTTCAAAATTGTATCAAACCTAAAATTTCTGAAATAAACCTTCCATTGGCAGTTCATTGTGTGCGGTAAATCATCATACAGTGAATAATTAAAATTCCCCGTGTGACATTTTGCACACCCTGCATCCCTGCATTAATTAGCTTCGGCTGTTAACGGACTCCGTTTCAATTAGGCTGCAAACGACACGCGGCGGTAACAGCGAACAAAACCACACGATATGTTATTACCCGCGGGAAACCGCACTGTCAAACAGCCAGTTGTTGCCGTTCGAACTTCTCTATTCCTGTATCGGCGATATAATAATTCAAAATCGATGTAATCCCTTCTCGCCCCGGCCTATTTGCGATGCGCCCTTCCCCGCCTGGGGCTTCCTCATGTCCGCTCTCCCATCCGCCAGACCAACACGCTCGCAGCGTTTTCTTCGTGATTTCCCACTTCTTATGATCTTTCTTTTTTACCTGCGGAGTAAAAACGTGCCGCTGTATAAAAGCGGTGTTGAAATTTATGATGATCGCGGTCGCTTATCTCTGCGAATGTAAGACTCTCGTTAAACCACCCACCGTGCCAACGATTGCTAGCAATGGGTGCTAGTGAAATTCTATATCGCACCTTTTGCAACTGAATCCACACATCTGCATGGCTAACCAACCAACTTTGCGGACGCTAAATTCTCTCGCGTCACTGCTGCTGGAGAAAATGGCGCTGCCTGGATTATGAAATAATTTATTCCCACCAAGGTTGTTCTTGCGTTATTAATTCGCAACGCAGGGACAAACTTGTTGAGATGCAAACTTTTGTTTATCACCAGCCAACAGGAGAGAAAGTTGAAAATTCAATTTTCTTGGAAATCACCTACAGCACAACTGCGGCACAAAAGCGTTCGGTTATTGAGTTGGTTACAGAATTATTCAATATAATACAAAATTCGCAAAATATTTTTTATATTTTATCACCTATAACGCAGCTACAATTTTTCCTTTAATAATGGAAAATTCCGTAAGAAAAATCTTCTACCATATTAAATTTTGAATTGTCATGATAATTTTTATTACCTGACATAAAAATTTCCAAATGGCACAGGAATTGAACCTAATTTTTATATATTTAAAAATTTAGTGATGTGATTTACATCCTGCTTCGACAATTATATAATTCAATTCTGACTCATTTGATGTTCTGTTCAATTAATTTTTCTCAGTAACGTTTTTTGTTGTGCTACATTTTCATAGTAGTTCTGATAGTGCTGCAGTTATTGATTGTTAAAAAACGAAAATATTGACGGTGCAGACTTTTAATTACAGTTGATGAGCATCCAAACAATATTGATCCTGCAGCAAAAATCGAACATAATGGACTTTTCCACGTCATCAATCACGGCTCCTTTGTGCTTTTGTTGTTGTGCATGTCTGCTAGCCGGTCAGGAAAACACGCGCTCTCGTCCGCTCGTTAATAAATGCCATTATTACTTTTGCCTTTGGAAAACCAAAATACAGAGCAGGAAAATGAGAGAAATTTCCCCTGGAAAGAAGTGATGAAAATTTTCCGCGCCACCGAATAATTTGGCTCCTTGAGCAACCACGTGCGTTTCAGCGCGCGCGACGATACCACTTCGAAAATAATATATATGCAAAAACGTTGATGAGTCTATTTCTAAGCGTTGCCGTCTCGAATGATACCGACGGCAACGGACGAGACCTTTTTTCCGCGCAAAAAGCTTCATAGTGCGTCTCAAGTCTTGATTGCTAAATCTAGCAGACCCGCCATGTCTTGGACGTGAAATGACGCAAACATCAGTGAAAGAGGGATTGAGGTCGCAAATGCATTTTGAATGAGTTCAAAAGGGTCACGGTTTTGTTTCGAAGAGCCAACTGGAGCATGGAAAATTGTCTTGACGTCCAGGAAAAATCTTTGAAATTTCAACTAAACTCATAAAATTTATCAGCGGAGTTGAAAATTCTTGCTTTATTAAATTTAATTTCGCTTCCATTTAATCAAATTACTTTTTGTACTGATATTATTTTGAATCATACATAAAAAAATTCTGAATATATGAATATGATTAAATAAATATTTGTATTGAATCTGTCAGAATATTAGAAGTGTGTTTTTTATAGTGGATAATTCTCTTTAATCTGGTTAAGTAATGACTAATGAATGAATGCAAACTTCTTTCTTAGATTTTCATTTAAAAATTATAAGAAGAGTGAAGCAGAAAGTTTCATTTCTCTTTTCTTTTTTGCAAACTAGGAGTTGAATAACTTTGTATGGACAGAATCAGGTCATACTGCGGGTATATTGAAGAAGTATAAAAATATGCCTCTGTTTGCACAAATTCCATCAACATCCTATTCACTCTTCACTTTACTAAATGCATCAAGCAACAAATTATGCTCTATTCCTGGATCGCCGCGCTCTCCGAGAGTAAACCGAGAGCATTTAAATATGTGCATGCACGTAAGCGCACTTTGAAAGACTTGGGTACATAATTGTTGGCTGTAAATGCGATGTTTTTTCCTCCATTATCTGCCAGCGTGAGCACTACTTGTGCCAGTTTTTTTTTGTGCGGCTTCGTTCAACTTTTAATTTGATAAAACGCTTACAAGGCAGAGAGAGAAATTCTATTTTAAGCGCGATGCTTATTAAATAAAATAGCGGAGCCAAGCGGTCTCGTTTGGACTCGATCAAAAAGATCAGCCAAGCCAGTTTCAACTGCGAGCCAGAAACGTCTAAATTAATTGGGCGTGCACATATTTCTCTCCTTGTGGCACATTTAATCCCCCTTATCTCATCAAGCGGAAATTTTAATTCGTGTACTTTTCAGTGTCAGATTTTTTCCCTTTAGTCCAAAACGCATTTCATATTTGATTAAAAATTTATATTCCAATAGGAGCAAAATACAACCCGCCGATCCCTTTCCACAGAACGTTTCTTTGAGTTAGAGTTCAAAGGGCTTGCCGATTAATTATGAATGCAAAGAGCGGCGAAATTTCATTGCAAAAAAGCTCTCATCACCGCGACACCCATTCAACACCAGCTTAATTTCTTTTCCGGCTCCACTCTCGTGCAAATGGAACGGTTTCGTTTACGGAGCGGTGATTGAGTTTAATGCGCACCAAACAATTAGCACCAGATTTCACGCTCGATTTTGCACAAGTGTCGCTAATCATGAAATTAGCACTAATTTCTCCTACTGAAGGAGAACGCGTTATTGTAAATACAAATTTTTCAGTTCAATTATCGTCTCTAAATATGTTTGCTGTTGCAGGTCGCATAAACAGTTCATTGAGTCAATGACTTCTACCATAATCGATCGTACTTTTCAACTGTGAGCTGGTTTATGTACACAATACAAATTACCTAAAAGTAAAAAAAAATCCCATTTAAAACAATCAATTATTGATGTGTACAATTATTAATATTGTTTTTATCAGTTTTCTTTTAGGCAACTATTTAAACACGTTAGATTAATGCTGAAATAATTTCCATCATAAATTTTACTATTATTATTTGAAAAAAAACTCCTTTTTCTTCCTTTCTTGAATTATATAATTTGGGTTTTATATCATTGTAAAGCCCCTTCTCCGTGCTTGAGCTAAATTTCATTGCTTTATTACCCCGAAAAATCAAAAATAAATTTGACCTGCAAAAACGCAAATAAACGCCCTTGACAAAGAAAACTTTTTATGCAAACTTTCGCTTTGCATTCTGCACAAATAATTAGCCCGGGCGCTACTTTGCTGAAATTTGCAAAAACGGCGGAAAGTGGCGCGACACTAATTTGGAATCAGGCAGCGCGAGCAGAATTCGCAAACCGGCCGGTCGTGACGAGCGTAATCAGCATGCAGAGCTCATTAAGGCCGCCGATTTGCATAGACCAGCATCGACTCCCCAATCGGCGCCCGGATTGACCTCCAAGGGCTGCAACCGACCCGCAGGGAGCGAAATCACAACTCACCCATGCTGCTGGGCGATCAGCGTGTCATAATATTGGCGAATTGGGGCGATCAAATATCGCCCCTTGGTCCCGGCGTCTTTGAACTTGTTCGCGAGCTCAGCTGCCCGCCGCTTACTCACTCGGTGAAAGCCTCTCTCTCTCAGTTCGGGACGGGGAGCGAGCGAGCGGGCCAGCGAGCGGCCACCCCTCCGCGCAGCCATGGCGACCACGCTCGCTTCCCCTCCGAGTTATACACCCCGCTCAGCACGATTCCCTATTTTATTCGTTCGGCCCCGAGCGGGGGCGGCGTGCGGGAAAGTTGGAAAAGCTCGTGCGGAAAGCGACGTGCTTTTGCGCGATGCTTCACGGAAAAAGGGTTGCTTCTCAAGAGGGTGGCTTGTTTAGACTCGAGACGAGGCGTGCATTTTGCCCGGTCCAGTGCTCTCGTGATGTGAATGCTCTAATTTCTGGATTGTTTTTACTTACACTGGCAGAGACTTGATCTGCTTCGCAAAGTCAAGAAGCGGCTTTTTGCTCAACAATGGCGAACTGAGAAGAAAGGCTGTTAAATTTTATTCTCGTGCTGCTGCGAGTCACTCTTTAGAAAATTACCCCACTTTTTGTCGCGGACCATTTTAGTTTATTTAATTAACTCCAAAAGATTTCTCATTTTTTTTTCTTGCGATGGAAATTTTCTGAAGTCTTTACCACACAAAATGATTGAATGTATTATATGAATCTAAATAAACGTAACAAAATATTTCGTGTCTCAAATATAATAACTTTTCATAACAATTTCAATTTTTTTTTGTTTTTTTTTTTAATATATAGCACAAAGAATATTATATTCTCTGAGGGGCCATTATAGGAATTAACAAACTTTTCGGCTTTGACATATCCATGCCCTGGCTTGTTCATGCAGAACGACACCGTGCAGAATTTTTTTTTAAATAATTCTAGTTTTGAGTCCACTCAACTTTGACCCACTTTTTTCTGTATTCCATTTTTTGCGCAAAAATATTTTTGGCAGCTCTTTGTGCATCAAATTCGCGAATCTATCCCTCTTTTCCTCCCTTGCATGCATGGCGAGATGAAAGTATAATAACAATCATTCTCTGCTGGCACACAGCGTGAAACTGCAAAAACTAGCCGCAGCATTCAGCCCATTGTGTTTCGCCTGTCCATTGACGTGAAAAATGCGTTTTTACGAGTTCACATTTGTCGGCTGAATAAAAAGGGGTGCAAGTTTATTCGGCTTCTGAATGCTCGACTGTTGAAGCAGTTTTGGCAGCTTTTCTCGGAAGGGCGGAACAAATTTGCCCAGCTAGAGAAGTCCATTAGTCGGATGAATTTTGAATTTAGATCTGGGAGAGCGTGAGAGTGTTGCAAGTGTTGAAACTATATTATGAATTTCTCATCTGCGCGTCCCTCCAGTTTCTGGTTGGGTTGGATTATTTATTATTTCATAGAGCCTGAGAGAGGAAGCAGCGAAGCATTCCTCAAACAAACAGCCCGAACCGGCGGCGCAACTGGTGCCGCTGAAAGATCTCGTTTGATCGCGCTTGGTATTATCAGCCGGTTTTGCTCTCGCTCTCGTTTCCTATTAACCAAGGCACCTCTTCCTTGTAGCTACACAGACTGATGATGACGGGCGAATTATTCTCTGCCGCCCCAAGCAGTCGTTCAAGGGAGCAAAATTAATGGTCTCAAGAATTTGCGAAATGAGCTGTCTGCTGCGGAAATGGAGGAAGTTGGACTGCAAAAAATGTGTGCGTTGATAACGCGAACGGGTGCTTTAATAAACGCGTGATTGATATGGGACCTCAAAATTAAAACTTTTCTAAAAAAAAAAAAAAAAAATCTATATAAAAGCAAAAACAAAAGTAGGTTACATTCTTCTGCATTGGAAAATTAAACTTTTTATGTTTTAATACTTAAATAGTAAAAATTTATTCATGACCTTGCCGCTTGAAATTCAATTTCCAGGCTGATATTTCACCGTCTAAAAAAAATGCCGCCCGCCTTTACCTGCACAGCACAACAAATGGTTATGTGGCGCGCGCTCCAATTAAAAGTATATCACAATGGAAAGTGTGCCAGACCGACCAAAAGTGTGCCGAACATGCACCAGTTCAAGTTAACTGGCTCACGCGGGAGAAATTTCACTTTCATCCTTAAACTTGCGCCTGCTAAGCTCGTTATGCAACCGGCCAGGCTTCCAGCTCGCCGCTTTCGTGAGAGCGCAATGAAAGTGAGAGTCGGGTGGGCATCGCGAATTATCAAACCGCGCGAAAGCTGGGCTTGATTTTTTTTATTCCATATCCGGCGTAGTTAGGAAGATTTTTGTTTGCATTTTTTCTCATATTTGACCGTGCCTTACCAAAAAATGGTCTTTTTCTTGCTGAGACGCTCTCAATGGGAGGAAGGAGACTCATGCAAACACACGGAGGGATTGCGCGACGTATTATTTTGGCATGTTTGCAAGAGACGTGCTTGTCTGTGTTAGACCGACCAAATCTTATGGTCGGCTCCGTTCGGCCGCAAAACGCGCGCGTCAAAACATTTTGTGACGCCATCCGCACATCACCCCACGTCTTTATTGTCGCCGAAAGGGTTATTTCTGGAAGTGTAGTGTGCTTGTGACACCACCTTCCAAATAAATGTTTGGCAACAACCTTAGAATAGTTATCCTCAATTAACTCGCAATAGGAACTGTTGAAATAGCGCTGTATTTGCAACAAAACTTTTCTCTGTAAAGTTATAGATCTCAAAAATGATTTAAAAATCAAAGAAATGGCACTAGAAAACTTTATGTAAATGGTGTATATCGAAAATAATTTTAGCAGCGGTTAAATAAATAAAATTGTCATATATCATGTACTTTTATCAATAAATAAAAGAGATTATCTGCGAAATTGAGATCCCCTTTCAGAGTGGCTGGATTATTGAAAGAAAATTGATGATTTAAAAAAGATTTATTTAATGAAATTTGCTCATTTCTTGACCTCCATTAAATTTTTTATTGTTAAAAGTTATATCTAAATTTTTTAATTCATTTTTTACTTTTAAAACTAATCTGGAAAAAAATCAAATTTTATGATTTCAGACTTGTCAATGTAAGCTATGACATTCAACATCCCTATTGGCTGGACACACTGGAATTGCCAGAGGTGTCAGCTCAGTACGATGAACTTCATTCCAACTACGACCTTTGGCGCCGATTCTCTGACGTTGCCTCAGATGAAGAGCACGAAGAGGTTAGCATTTACTTCTAATACCAGATTGATAAAATTTTCTTTGCCCCCTATATATTTTTTTACCGGGGCGGCCTAGTCTCTTTTGATGTTGGGTCAGGCGTTTAAGCAGACATCTGATATTAGTTTTAAGCCATTTCTTCTTCTTTTATCAAATTAATTTTTTTTTGTATTGACCCCAAGAAGAGTAAATAATCATAGTAAATTTTTTAAATGAATTAAAATATGCTGAAATAATTCATATTAAAAAAATATTATTCTTACCTCTCATCCGTTTTGATGGATGTATTGCTGTTCTAGCTGGACTTGCCATTGGGCACCAATAAGCGGCGCAAGTTGCACAAGTACCGCCAGGTCTTAAAGGAAAAAAGCAAGCGTAGCCTTCGCGCAGTGCCAAAGCACATCAGAGACTACAGTAACCGCAAAAGGCTCAGTGAGTTTGAGAGGGAGGAGGAGCACAGAAAGAGGTTCAAGCAGATGCACAGGGTCCCCACCGTTCCCACCTTCGGAGAGAGCAACGAGCTCGTCTATGATTCTGACGACTCAACCAAAATTGTCAACGCCACTCAGCAGACAGACTCGGCTGAGTCTGAGATGGAGATTTCTGACCACTCTGATGCTGATAACGAGGTATCCAATGATGAAGATGACGAAGGGATAGACGACGAGGAAGATGATGATGGAGCAGAGTAGTTAGGAAGCGCGGCACTTCCTACATTTCCCCACCTGATATTTTTGCTCACGCGTCAGCTCAGTATCGAGGTCGGGTGTTGTTTTTTTAACCTTCCGTTCGATGCAGCAGGTTCGTAGCTGAACTTGCACTTTTAATTTTTCCTTTCTTTTTGCCAAATGTGTAACACATTCACCTGTTTATTTTAACTTTTCATTTCTAGATAGAGTTTATAATTGATTACTGTTGATTAACTTAATAGTTTATCACTAAGGTTCACAAGACTCATGTATAATGACTTATGCAATATTATTTCAGTTACCTCAAAGATGCAAATTATTGTTAACTTAATGAGAATTTATCTACTGTTAATGTATTTAAAATATATTTGTAAGCTGCAGTTAATGACAAAAAAATTATTATCAGTTTTAAGGCCAAGCGCATTCAGTCAATATAATGTGTGATGATCCAATAGCCGGTGTACCTCAATAAGTTATGCTTAATAAACTTATGCACAGAGGAAACTTATAATATCAGATAATATAATATAGCATATTTACAAATAATTATATTTGCAACTAAGCTGATTATAAAGTAAAAAGTAATAAAACCTATTAATGTTAAGTTTTTCAAATTCATTTAACCTAATATTAAAATATTAAGTGAATAATGCAAAATATTATTTCTGTAATGATCTGAGTGAAAATCAATAAATCAATAAAACTATATTGAAGTTTTGGCATTTTTCTTTTATTAAAAAGAAAAAATCCATCAATATAAAGAAATAACAAATATCTGAAACATCTTCTCAAGCTGCTCCAGTGATCAACTGCTTAAAATTAGAGGAATTTCGAGCATGACACGTTCATTGCCATGTTTATAGTTAAAATCTTAGTATCAAGTCTGTCCACTTAGCAATTTTAAACCCGTCCTCTGGCAATAAAAATATGAGTTGTTGATAGAAAATGGCTGAGTCAGCAAAAATAATTGCACCAAGTATGTTTTGGGTCAAGAACAGTCAGACTAGTGGTGATGGCCCACAGCTAACATCAATGGCAACAATGTGCCGACAACAAGGAAGAAGAGTTCTCGAAGTCTTAAGGTTTTGCCATGGCTTGCCGCGGCACCATTCTCAGGGCTGACGGGCTGATAAGCGTGCGAGTGAGATCGCTGAGTCAGCTCGGGCAGGACGTGCACTGTGGCCACATAGAGGAAGGTCCCCGCACTGAACAGCATCGCCAGACCAGTGGCATTCACAGAAGACAGAGTTTCTTTGCTGTCCTGCAAACGATAAATAAATAAAAACTTCAAATTTGAGCCGAAAATGAGGAAATTCATATTATAGGGTATTCTTTTACCAAAACCCACCAGCTCTTTCTTTATCTGAAAGGATTGACCCTTATTTATTTGTATGCCAATTAACTGAAGTAACAATTTCAAACTCTATATCAATCCGTAGTAATTCAGCATATATTCAATGTTGATGAGACAAGAAAAAATGTCCTCGTCAAAATCGAGGAGTTTACGAACCTGTCCTAGGCCAAAGTAAGTCACAACAGCCAGGAGTGGCGCAGACACTGAGAAAATTATAAGATGCTTTCTGATTCTGTTTCTCTCCAAACCCTCATGCATTAGGAATGTAACAAGTCCAAAGGCAGCCGGTGCCTGATGGGAAAACAATTAATAAACTAATCATAGCTCATATCCTCCAATTATATACCTTGTGCAGCATTATTGCTATGAACACAATCATTTCAACGTCTGTGTGCGCCGTCGTTGCTGCAGCTCCCAGAGCAATACCATCAGCTACGAAGAGAGTTAAAATTTTAGTAGCCCGAAATTATATTTAAATCAATTTCTATACCTGCTGCGTGGACAACCAAACCAACAGTTGCTGTCATGCTCTTTTCGGTTTTGTTTTCCGAATCACCTGAAGGAGGACAAATAAAAAAATTTAATAAAAAGTAAAGGACGAATTTAATTAAGAGCACCTCTTTTGGCTGAGAGTTGATCTACTAGTAACATGAAAACAAATCCAAGCACCAGAGAAACACCTATTAGGGAATGGACATCGGCTCCTTCGTCAGAGTGCTCGTTAAGATTTACAACTCCTCCCGAGCCTTCGTGATTACCCTCGTGGGCTAGAATTTTTGAGGATTTAAATTAATAAGCTCTCTATTTTCTCAAATTATCTGTACCGTGAGGGACACTTAGTAGAGACCTGACACCTTCCGGGATAATAACGGAAAGAGCCGTTCCGACCAGAAGACCGGCCCCAAGAACAGACACCATTTGAAGACTCTCCTAAAAATAATATTTAAAATAAGACAATTGTACATATTTATGTAGTTTCTGCCGGGAAGAAAATTCACCTGCGAGAGTGACATGGTGAGAGGTATGGAGCCGGACAAATAGCTGCCCACCAGCATCAGCAGGGAAAGGAACACGAGCTTCGTGGTCTCATCCATCTTGCAGGTGCGAAAGGTCTCTTGCGAACTGTTGGTTCCAGGACTCGAGAATCGAGAAATAGAAGTTTATGCGCACATTGTCTAATAAATGTAAAGCGTTGGCAAATTCCGGCTTGGTATCGCGAAGCGCTGTTATCACGGCTAAAGACTAAACATCTCTGTTTTGCTTTTTGTAAAAAAGTTCTAACTTGCAGAACACAAAACAAAAATTATTTACATCCGACTGTCCTTTTTGCCACAACATCGATCGAGGACAGCTGACAGGTGATGAAGCGCTGCCAACTTAACAAAATAATTGCTGCAGTTTTACCAAATTAGAGTATTATTTATAATAAAAAATACGGATGACTAATTTATAATTTATATCCAATATTATTGCGAATAATGTTTAAATTGAAAAATATAAGAAAAAAATAAATAATATATCCCATGGTGTGGTGATTTGAATTTAAAATCGGCTTTTCCTCGATGGGAAAGCCGATTTTAAATTCAAATCACCATGAATCAACCCTCGATCGTGAAATTCTACCACAATATATTTCCCATGTTTTCATGATACGCTTAGATTCAAAAATATATCTCAAGTTCTTTGGAAGTTTTCTCATAAAAAATTTGTTACTTAGGAGAAATAATTATTTTTATTTGAATTGATTTGCACATGATCCTATGATTATGGACATTCACTCAAACTGCTCTGGAAACTTGTATTCAACTTCTCTCATGACTCTCACTGCAGCCACACATCGACTTAAACAGGTCACTTCATTATAAATATACAGTGTGATTCTTCCTAAGCTAAAAATTTAATCCTGAGCCAAAATAGGATTTTTCTACAGCAATATATGTATATAACACAAGTTATTTATGTTTTAAAGGCGGTTGATGAAATTTTGCTGCATGAAAACAACTCTGTACTTCACTCATTATCAATTATTCGTCCAAGGTACTTTGGGTGTGTCGATATTGTTAACGGTTGCGTATTGACAAACATGAACTAGACTGTGTTTGCTTTCAAAACAAAATTAATTTTGCAAAGAAAGATTGAGATAATAATTAGAGATCATTCCATTCCAATGCCGTCAAAAATTTAGTTTTAGTTGTTGGTTTTTACAGTCTTGTTTTATGAAAATCCATAATATTTTTATAGACACTAAAAAAAGTACAGCCTACTCTGTGGCTTCAGAAGTTAGACCAAATAAGATAACTTCATCCAAAAAATACAAAAACAGTACTTATATACCACCATTCAATTATTTTCAATCTTTCTTAAAGCATTATTTACATAAAGCATCGCTCCAATATAATAATATGAACTGCAGCTCTGCAAAAATGCAGAACTGCGGCATTTGTGCCGAACATTATATTTACTGGTAAAATCTGCCTGTCGTTCTCTAAATAAATGATCAAACATTCATCTAGAACTTAAACAATAAAAATCCAAGAGAAACATAAGCTTTCCATGGCGTGCAAAGAATTCTCTTTACCTCACTGAACAAAAATTGGACACCTTAAAAGAGCTTTAGATAAAATTCTCCCACAATCACTCGGCCCATACGTGCAATGAATACACACAGGGGTATTACGAAGACGTAGCGCAACCACCAGCTGGTTGTGCAAATTTTTGGTACAAAAATGTTGTTTCTGGCTTGACACAGGTAGACAATGTTCAACTCTAGTCCCACTCACACAAATCCCGATAACTGTTTAGTCCGTATAAACAATATACTGTGCATCGTCTGCGCTGCCTACGTCCACACTGACAAATTGAGGTGGCGTTATATTCTGCACCTGCATTGCCACTGGTCTGGTGGCAAGACTGTTTCTCGACCTATAACAAGTAAGTCAAAATTAGATAAGAAAATGAAATGGTTTAAATTTAAAACAAGAGGTGTGTTTAATTCATAAGCATAATCAAGGTACAATAAATTTTAAGTTAAAAAACACAATTTGTTTCTAACTAATCTATTTTTAAAATCCAGAGGAAAATAAATTTGCAAAAATTGAACACAACCTCCGACTCTTTTTCAATCTCACAGTTACTTGATACAAAGAAAGTATTGAATATTAATTATTACTTGGCCTTGGCGTGAGTTAGAATATGGGACTTCAGGTTGGTTGACTGCGCAAACTTCTTGTTGCATCCATCAAATGGACAAACGTAAGGCCTGTCACCGGTGTGAATGCGAACATGCGTTCTCAGGTTAAAGTCTAGGGAGAATCTCTTTCCACATCCCTCAAATGTGCACTGCAAGAAAGTTTGGTCTTAATAAATATTTCTTTTCAATTTTTTCCCCGATTATTACCTGGAAAGGTTTTTCTCCAGTGTGAACCAGTTGGTGCCTCTTCAGTTTGGAGCTCTCGACAAAAGCCTTTCCGCACTCAGCGCAGACATGAACTCTGGGACCGTGTGTGTGTAGATGCTTTCTCATGGCCGAATTATCCCTGAACATTTTTGTGCAGCCTTTGTGGGGGCAGGCTATGGTGCGGTCAATGCTGTCCTGTGTGGCCTTTTTAGGTTTGACCTTGTGGCCAGGCCTGTCACAATTAAACAATAAAAAGAATGGCTGTTGGGAACTAATACGCTTAAGTTATTTTTAATAATAATAAATTAAGAACAAAAACAAAATAAAATTATTAAAACGAAGCCAAAAAAACAATTACACTTAATTATTAGCCCTTAATTAACTTGCTGATAGTTGGCAAATTATAAAAACTTAAAAATATCTTACAAACTAAAAAGAAAATAAAATGAAACCTTCCGTACATTTCATACCTGGCAAATTCTGCCAGTTGTTTAGGGTCGCTGAGGTCAAGACCAGGAATTCCGCCTGCCTGGATCTTTTTGCCAGACATATACTCTGTGTAGTCGGGATCAGGCTCTGGGTTGCTGACATCGTCCATGACATCATCTGTAGAGAAAAATGAATGGATAAAAAATGTTCAATTTTTTAACAGAAGAAGTGATAGTACAATAATATAAATATGTCAAGATAATAGCCAAAGTTGCCTTTCTGCGATATTTAAAAAAAAAATTGATTGAAACCTGTCAATTGAATGATTGCATAAATGAGATAATTAACTTTTTTATATGAATGATGCATTTGTATTTGTAAATTTATATTCATTGCATAGCCGTTAACTCTGAAATGAAACGTATTAAAAATAATTTTTATTTTGATAAACTGCTGAAAGAAACAGTGTTTCTGATTTTTTTTTTCATTTTTGCTATATTAAAAAAATGTGTAAATTTGTTATTTAATAATAATAACAAAATTATTGTTTTTTTTCCACAGAGCTAGTTTTTGTAGTAAACATAATTTATGTATGGAATTATTTCGGTGGTGGGAGTGGGAACAACACCCTAATTTACGCGGACGGCTAACCTTCGGGGCCACAAAAACACCGGTCGACCTTGAAGAGCTAACTTTCAAGAGATCGCGCCTCGCCGGAAGTGACGTCACGTACTGGCTAAGCAATTTAATGGCGTTACCCGAGAACAATGAACAAAAAAGCCAAAACGAAAGCCGAAAATCGGCCGAAACAATAAAAACCACTTTTTGGCGACAGCCGCTTCGGCAGCGAATGCGCGAACGATCGAGTTAAGACGGGACGTGTTTTATTTCAAGGTCAAAGGGACACAAAAGTCTAGCAAGTCGGACATCGACGGCTCCTTTGCAAGCTCGGCAGCGACCATTGTATAAAAATGGCGTCTTCGGCGGCCATAGTCTCAGTGGCCATATTGTATAAAATATGGCAGCCACCGAAGAGTTTACCTATGGCCGACAAAGAATCAAAACAAACACCGGGACACCCGGTAGGGCCGACGATTAGGCACGGAAAGGTCGGATTCTGAGGCGAATCCGGCCTGGCCGACCCCCTGGGCGTCCGCCATCTTGAATTGCCGCCGCAGTCCGCGATAAAGCCAAGCCCGAGCTTGGAAATACCCTTTGCGCCCAAAAGCCGGCTTTCACCGACGTAAACAAACCCTTTGCACAGGCCGAAGTGGCCGAAAAGTCGGCCCGGATAATCAATCGGAGTGACAAGACCCCAATTAAACGGAAAACCGCGTTGGCACGATCGCGAGCCCCCTCGGAGCCCCAGAGGCGCCTCCTCTGTTGCTAGGGAACCAATTTCGGGCCGAATAGGCCGAAACTCACCGTCGTCAGTACCGGAGGCCCACATGGTGACCGAAAACTCGCCCTCCAGCGTCTTGATTTGCACCTGCTTCTGCTCCCACTTGCGGTTTTTCGGCTCAGAGGCGCCAAAGTCGGTGATGATTTCGTTGGCCCGCAGCTTCACGGCGGACACGGCGTTCTTTTTGCCCTTTTTCTGGCCGCGCCGGGATGGTCCTGGGCTCGATTGTATGTAAATGTCGCCAGCATTAGGCACCGGTATCTGGTCGTAAGCCGACAAATCCCCGCCGACGATTTCTTCCTGCGTTTGCAGGATGATTTCCTCGCGTCCGGGCTCCGGCATGGCCTGCAGTGATATCATCGGCTGCCCGTCCATGTCCGTCTCAACTGTTTCCAAAGGAATTTCAACCGGCACGGATTCTATTTCCACTTCTTGCATTTCCGGCTGAATTTCGACTTCAGAGAGATCATCTCCTGATGCCATCATCGTGAAGACTGAACTGAATTTAATCGCTAGTGCGCACGTTTTCTGCGCATAGTGTGCTCGCTGCATGATTCCCATTGGCGCTCTCGGGTCACATGACCAGCAGACCAATTGAAATTAGGAGAGCTTTGAATCCTTGCGCGAAAAACACGCAATTAAAAGTATCCGTAATATAACGCGAGGAGTTCTCAATATGAGTTCAAAGTTCAATGTTCTATTGTGCGACTGCTGCGACTTATAAACAAGCAAACAGGTATACACACGCGACACTTAATTATGGGTTGAAAACCGCATGATTTGAAAGTGTTAAAAACATAAATAGTTTCCATAATGTATCTTTACTAAAAGTTTCAGTTAATGAGTCTTTTCGTTTTTTCTATTTTGGTCTAAATTGAAATAATAATATTTTTCAATAATCATCATAATAAACAGTTCATTAGGAGTGAAATCATGAGTGATTTCTTCTCGGATATAATTTCTTCCCAATCTCTTTTATTTTATTATTTTTAATTATTTTGATAATTTGCCCTAAATATGGAAAAGAATCCTCCGAGGAAACTCCTTTATTTTAATTTAAATAAAATTTTTACATTTTTATATATTTATTGTATTTTTTTATAACCATTGATTTTTTTAAGCTTGAAATTTTTTCATTTTGTCATTATTTTATCCTGTTTCGCACGCTGGCCTTGGTTTCGGTGGAAGTGGGTAAAGAATATTTGTGAGTGGTGAATTTTCCCACTCTCCAGGAAACCGCTCGCCGTTGGACTGATTGCACTGCATGGACAAAGGTGATTCCAAGTACATTTGATGAAGAACGTTTGCTCTGGCAGGCGTCCAGCGAATCGAGCCGTAATTCTTAGATATTGCACCTTGAGGCTCGATTTTAGATTGACCGTCCCAGCTAGCAAATATTAAATAATAAAAGTTTGTCAATAAGCTGATTTATTAAAATTCTTACTCTCTCATGAAACGGAAATAATCCCACAGGCTTTCGTAGCTGATGGCACTCTTGCAAACTTCTAGCCGAGATTTTGGGTAATAGTGAACGTAGTTGACGCACATTTCATCGCTTATGGAAAATCCACCCAAAGTTATATTTTTCCTATCCTTTGTATTGTAGTAACAGGTCGTGATGAGAGCGTCACCCTTAAATTAATTTATAAAATAATAAATTAAACACTTCTAAACACACGAATATAAATTTGCATAATAACTGTTAAGCAAAAAAAGTTAATGGAAATAATAACCCTATTGCGTGTGCAGAGTTGTTATCCACATGCACAGCACTCCAGCTCTACAGGTTGCCTATACTCACAGGCAGTACGCGAACAGGCCGCTTGAGTTTGCGGATCTCTTGGAAGTGGGTGCTGTAGTGGCGGTCTTGGTTGAGCAGCGGCAGCTCCCGTCCGTCCCTGATATGCCTCGTTTCTACCCTGGTACCTGTCAAGTGGGTGTGCAATTGGGATGCAAAAATCACGATTCCATCTTGTTGCAAACTCTAAAATTAAATATTAAATGAAATTTTTAAGTTTCTCGTTGAAAATTTTTAATTGATGACTGAATAATTTTTATTTATAGCATTTAAATTTTACCACTGCAGTACACTCGCTAATACAATAGCCAGAAAGAGTGAAACTCGGCTGCATGGGTGGAATAGCCATTTTATCGATATATTCCAAACCAAGCTCCATAACACCGGCGTCTAGTGGGCGCAGTGTTGGCGTGACGAGAATTTTAATTCCTGAGCTATCCACCCAGTCTGCGGAAAGATATTATTTATTCGATTTAATAAATTGGTGAGATAGTATAGCTTGAAATATAAAATTCATACCAGACTTAAGTTCTGGGTTATTGTAATGAACCTCGAGCATGACGTAAGGATTAAAATCGGGCCCACCAATAGGCAAACCAGCTTCCTGTAAATAACAATGGCAAACATAAAAGCTAAAATTTGTATCTTATTATTCAACTTGAGGGTAATCGAACGGCTGGGCTCCCATTGCCCACGCTGAGAGAACCCTTTTGCAGTGTTCGAGAATGGGTGGCTTGTCTTTGGCAAAGCAAGGGCCTTGGTAACTTGGCACTTTTTGCTTGGCAGGAAGTTCACAGTGAAAAAGTTCCATGTGGTGCACCAGGGGCTCATTTCCGTCTTGGATGGCAGCACCAAACTGCGCAAAATTTTCAGCTCGGTATTTCCACCAAAACTAAATTAATCACCTGCAAAACGTGATGTTTCTTTTCCTGTAGCGCTTTTGGCAGCAAGTGGATGGTGCACCAGTAAGTCGTTTCGTCCGCGGGAACCTTGGCACGGTCCGAAGTGAAATGCAAAGCGCGAGCGTCGGCTGGAAAATCAGGCTCGGGCAGAAGGGCTTTTAAAAGCTGCGTTCTTTGAAAGCCATTTTTTCCTGTAGCTATATTGAGGCCGTTCACTCGATACAGAGGTCCTTCGCCTACTGCCCAAACCACGTGAGTTGTACCGTCCTAGTTTATTTAATTTAAAATTGATTTCAAATTAGACAAAAAAAGTGAATTTTACTTCAATAAGGTAATCTTCCTCATCGCAAGTGTCAAATTTGCGACTGAATGAAAATTTAATTATTTCTCCGTGGTTGGCAATTTTAAAATTGGCACAATTCTGCAAATCATCTTCGTGAATTTTACCCGACTCATCAGACCAAGTATCCTTAAAATTCATTTTTTTTTAAATTAATATATATTATTTAATTAAATAAGAAGTAAAAAAGGTTGTAAATTTTTATTTTTTACCGTGAGATGAGGGTTTCCTTTCCAATCGACCCAGTACAAACAATAGTCTGCAGGAGTAATTTCACCGTAATTGGAAAATCCGAGCGCCAACCACTGCCTAGGGCTCTCCGTCCTGAAATGTATCTCAAACGACACCTTCTCGTCAGGGTAATCGGGCAGCCAGTGAAGGGTAATGTTGCCTGACGGATCGAGTGGAATGTTGAAAACTTTTCCTGACGCCGAATTAATTACTATGGCGATGAAATAAAACACGATCCTCAGTCTCATCCTGGTGGCTGCACAGCTCCACTTTGGCAAATGGAGATGCGAAAATGCGGGGGCACCCTTTTATAAAGCAGGATGTGTATAGGGTTGGTGGGATTGAGGCACGTCGTAATCACCCGAGGGCGAACAAGAATGCGCCTCTGGTATGTCTTCATATTCGCATTCCTTAATCGATTCGCGGCCTCGGTTAGGAATTAATAAAAAGTGGAGCACAGAAGAGAATTTTGGTGTTGCAGTAATGACGAAAAATGCAATTAAGAACGGTGTACATTCTGAAATTTTTGTCGTCTGCATATGCAAGAGTTTCGTGTATGTTTGCCTTGGGGTGAAAGCCCTTAATGGGTGTCATGTTTTGCGGCACTCGCGATTTCACTTGCTCATGAATTATGCATGACATGGATAAGCGGTGCTTCCTGGGAGGGGTGCAATAAAAAATGACGGCGAGCAAAAAATGAACAAGTGTCAAAATTTATTCTGTGACTGATAACAATCTTGTGTTTTGGAAATATGTCAAGTGAATAAAACTGTAAAATTAATATTTATAACTTTAAAAATATATTTAAAAATAATTTCTGCAAGCACATAATGAAATTAGGATATAAATTAATGAATTTTTCCAGTTAAACAAATTAATAAATAAAGGAGCTCATTTGATTTGAGTAATAAAAGATGAAACTATATTTTCCACTGGTTTAACCCACTTCGATGTTCGAGATAATTTGAAGTGCGCACACATTCCCGTACACAAAAAAACACCTATTAGGCATAATAAATTACTTTCGCCTTTTCCTCTCCTTTCCGGGGCGCCAATGTAGGTTACACTCTGACGCAACGCGAGATACTATCTACTACCTCGAGCTACAGCAGCCATCGGACTTTCCGCGGTCGCTGTATAATGATAAAGATTCGGGCCAAAAGCACCACCAACCGAAGACTGAAGTTAGGCAAATTGTTGGTCAGCCGTGTCACGCACGTCACATAACTTTCATCGCTAGCGCTTGGATTGTGGCGCCCTCAATACGGTCCTCTCGCGCGGTGATCGCACCTGACGGTAATTTAATAATTTATAGCGTGTAGTAAAGGTTATTGTTAATTACACGAGTTTAGCGACTCGTGATGCTAAATGGAGGCAGTTTGCTATAAACTGCTATAAACCAATGATGATAGTAAAATTTTAAGGTGTGCGAGACAGAAATGAGACTTTTTGCGTAAGTGGCAACCTCATTCAAATAAATTTGAAGGTTCTTTTGGGAATTTGTCAAATTTATTATCCAGTTTAGACACGTTTATTTGTTGATTCGTTTTAATGGAAAAATATGTTTTAGCAATATTATTTTGTTAAATGGTTTAGTTCAGTGGTTTTTATTTTGACCGATAATTATACAAAAGACGTTAAAATTCCAGCGTACGAGGAGAGTAAACAATCAAGCTATGATTTCGGCCTTTGTCACTGAATGTCAACAGCTTGTTGAGGGAGCACGCAACAAAAATGACAGATTACAGCTATTCTCTCCGGGCCGTCGATACCTTATCAATAAAGGCGTGCGCTGGATACACCTGCCCGACACAATTCCCATTCATAAAAATGCACGGCCCGCGTGAAATATTTACTTATCGCCGCATCCCCTGCGGAGGGGGCGCAGGCGCTTCAAAGCAAACAACACCCCAAATACACGTCCATCTAGTTGCTAGGTGACCGGGACACCAAACAATGTGCTCTGAAGATGGCAAAAAAACCTCTTGGCCCCAATTCTCCACCACCACCTCGAGGGAGGGGTGAAAATAAGAGTGGACATGACTTGACCATTCTCAAGACCGAACTGGAACACGAAAAAAGACTGAGGTAAAATTGCTTTATTGAACGGCGGGCCGTTTTATCGCATTGCTGCACCGAAGCCCGAGCCGAACACGCGGAACTCGTTAGCTCATTTTGAGACTCACAAACGGTTTTCAACAGGAGGACAATATTGTGGTCCAACCGCGAACTGCAAAGGATTGTTTACGAATTGGAAGATGAGATAATTCAATTGGATTCAGAAGGTACTCGCCACTTTTTAACTAAGCATTTTTATTAATTTATGGATGACTTTATTTGTAATCCGCACTTTTCCCACTTAAAAGAAAATATTTTAAACTCGTGCACATAGGAGAGCACAATTTACTTTTCATCATATTAAATTAAATTAAACAAATAAACGTAAAAATTCCAGTTTAAAATTGATAGGCTCTGGTATAAAAACCTGTATAAAGCGAGATAAATTTCTGTGGTTTCGCAATTTTAACATATTTCAGCTATAAGAATTTAGCAGACAAACCCAGAGTCGACACAATTGTGCACAATTATCTATCTGTGATGCTCAATTGGCCATCTGCATGCCGTGCTGTGTTTGTTTATGTGTGTGCGTCGTTCAAAAGATTTTCTCACAGCACTCCCACGATTTTGATCGGGCCGTCATTTCATTGTGTGTGTGCTCAAATTAGACTATCCTCCTCCTCCGTCTTTGCTCTTTTCATTCCGCCTCGCTTTTTATCTCAAACTCAGAGCCTGTGCGAGAGAGAAGAAGAGGAACAGCGATGGGGGAGTCTGCCGTGTTCCATGCCCTCTTGGTTTTTCTCAGTCGATCTCGTGCATGAACTTGGGCTCAATTTAACACAATCGCCCCTTCGGGCAAAACTGTCATTTATAATAACATATTTGGGAATATATAGACAGAGCGCGGGCAGCCCTGTGATGAATCAGAGCCATTAAATTAGGCTATGTCTAGCAGAGTTTAGTAGTTGTAAAATATATTATGCTGGACGCAAATTTTTGTAAATTTATTTTAACAAGTTTTAATGATGTATGTCTAAAAAATGTGTTTTCAGAAATAATGGGAATTTCACGCATGCTAATTTTTTTTTATTATTAAAACGGATCTAGAATAAAATAATTGTAAATAAAATACAAAAATTATTTGTTGTATACATTTTACTGTGGAAAAAACATTAGATTTTTATTAGAATATAACATTTTAAAAATTTTTAACAATATTGTGGTCAAAATGGATGTTCAGCTGAATAGTTTCCAAATGTAATGTTTGTAATGACAAACACGTTTGAAACTTTGACGGCAAAAATACTTTTAAAATAGCAAAATATACTTCGAGTTAAAAAAAAGACAATTATATTGTGTTAAATATTAATTATAATTTTTTTCTTAATAATAAGTATTTCTTAAAATTGAAAAAAAATTCTTCTCCTTGCTGACCTGATCAAAATGTTGCTTGAATCAGCAGGATGTGAATTTGGCCTGGGGCGTCAAAACCAATCCATTACGCATTGTGTCAAAGAGAACAGCGCAAAGCTTTGGGCCGTGATATCAAACAAGCGGCTGCGCGTTCGCCCCGAACTCAATAATTATCCTTCTTACTTTTGCATATTATTTCTAACATAAGTATAGAGGCACAAGAGGCAGGGAGCGGATATATTTTCCCCGAGACATGGTTGCGTGCAGATCGGGCGCTTCGTACGCAAATTCCTCATGGATTCCAGACGGAACAGGGCCCTGAGCGATCATTTTCGAAGAACCATAAGCTCTCTCGGTCGGCTTGACAGACTCATGTCTGGCAGAATTACTCGTGTGCTGCATAGAGAACAATCAAACGCATTAGGCAGACCAGTGAATTTGGTGTTAAATTTCCGTGGGAATCGCCGCTCTCGATTTGCGCTATATAGTTAAGAGATAGTGGGACGGCAACAGCGTTTGACTTTGACACAAACCTTCCTTACCTTGCTTTATGGTAGTTCTCGCATCACACCAATTACAGACAGCAGCCATGCAAAAGCCGGAAATTGTGCTAGCTAAAAAGGCACATATTGCAAAGAAACTGCAAACTCTAATTATTTTATTTGGAATTACATCAGATTGTTGCTGATAAGTAAATCAGCTGAAGGTTTTCAAATTTATTGCCATCATTTACAATTCACCAAATCGGCAAAGACCAAAAGAGCAAAGTAAAACATCAATCAATTATTGTTATTATTGCTTCATGAAGAGTAAATTTAATATTTTTCCCTCTTGTGTAAAGAGACAGATTTCTGAATTGAAATCTTACGAGACTTTATGTTTTATAAGCCTTCTTCTTCACCGTCTCGAGGCAGAGCTTCTCATCGTAATTTATTTTTACTTCGAAGAGAGAGGAGAAACATCTGCGTTAAGCTTTCGGCGTGTACGCGAAGGCAATATTTTGAAAGACAAGTGATTCTTGCAATTTACCAAGCCGAGTACAGTTTTAATGGAAAAAGATGGAAAGATAGACGCAATGCGAAAAGAACTTACAGGAGGTCCACGCCGAGCATCGAGGGTCCGCTACTTCAAGATAATAATTTAGGAATCGTAAGAAATAAGTTAAAAGCAAAAAACGTGATGCGGCTGAACTTGTTAAAATTTATCCCTGATGAAATCACGCACAATTATAGAACAAATCTACGAGTTATTATGCTATTTACTGTGAGCTCATTTGCTGAAAAAATAGAGAGAGAATAAAAATTGTACTAGTGCTCAAGAGAGAAAAAAAGGAAAAATAAAATCGCGGTGTGTGTTGCCGAGAGAGATATAATATTAAAAACAGGCTGACTATTGATTATGCAAATTTGACCTCCATGATCCAAAGGGGGCTTCCTGAAGCGGCACATCCAATTTTATTATCTTTTAATTCATCACCCCAATGGAATTTCTTGCTGGCTGCTGCGAAAAAGAGCCCGTGCAGCCATTACTCCAGCAGAGGGCCTATATATTTTAAACGCGGCGGCCGCCACCATTATGTGTATAATTTGCCATCCTCTTTTGATAATTTTATGCATACGTGCGTTTTAAATATTATTTATTGATTTCTCCTCTCGCACACACCTGCGGCCAGAATTAAAATTACAAAAACGAGAATAAGTAATACCACGGACGGCAAGTGGCAAACAATTTTTGGCATTCCCGGGTGTTTTAAAATAATGTGCGTTTTCCTTCAACTCATAATACACGTTGGTTAAAAAAATATCTTAGAAATACACGCAAGCAGCAGGCCCGTACGTTTATAAAAAAAACACGCTGCTTTCGTGATACAATTATGTGCGATACCGCGGTCGAATTATTCAACCGTGTAAACGTACATTAAGTTAATGTCAAGTGAGCTATTATGCTCTGCTCGCGATCATCGAGCGATCTTTCCTCTCTTAGTTCTCTCTTAAAAGAGCTCTTTTTCTTTTAACGTTTTAACTGAACGACGAGCGTGGATAGCTAATAAAAATAAATCCGGCCTCTCTCCTCGCTCTTTCACGTGGCCATGCACACGTGCACTCATTTTATTGTTATTTGAGCATCAATTTATCTCCCGATTTATGTTTATGGCCGCCGTAATTGGCGCTCTTTAATTTATTCACATCATTACACGCGCGATGTGTGCTGCGTGCGACATGGGTTTTATTTAGCTCTGCACAGAAATGGCGGCGATTTTTGTTTCTTTTAAAGACACGTTTTAACACACCGACAATTTCCAAAGCTGATCCATCGATTTTAAATTGATATTCATGAGATTCGTAGAGACGAAATGTATTAATAAATTATTATCATAATGTGACGAGAATGACGGATCGAAGAAGAATGGTACAATAAAACTAGCGGGTGGCTTATCTTGATTTAACAGGCCTCAGTTTTGTGTGTGTGTTCTCTGACCTGGAATATAGATGGGACCGTAAAAAATCGATGGAATATTAGAACTGTTTTGCTCTTCATGCTGTTAGAATTTTATTTTGTGCTAGTTTTGTACGTTTCCAATGCCTTGAACTTTGGTTAACTCCACAAGCACAATAGCACACGTTTGCACAACGTGGCAAATAATGGTGTCACAAAATTATAGATTATCTGGAAAATGCTGCGTAATAATGTCGTGATGAATTACTTTCTTTGGCAGATCCAGATCTGCCCGACCCTGGTAATGAGTGGTGGGTTAGATTAGTAGCGCAGAACGAAATCAACAAACAACTAGAACAGCAGAAAAAGTGGCTGGAGCTGGAGTTAGAACAAATAATTAAACAGAAAGAAGCCCGTCCTCCTAAAACCATGAATTTTGACTTAGATTTGCTCACTGAGGTAAAAATTTCAAAAACTATTATACCGTGAGATTTTTATATTCAAATTAATTTTTTTCAGACTGAACTAATTAGATTAGTAAAACGGCTTGAGAGGCAGCGCACTGACATGTACAGCACCTTAAGAAATTTAGAATGGAGACTTGATCGTGAAGGGAGAGTGAGTTAAAATTAAGGAAATAAAAATTTTACTATTTATTTACTTTTGTCTTACAGGAGCATCAGCGCTTAGCAGAAATGAAAACGATGCAGCAAGCTGAGCTCTATCACTACACGAAGACACTAGACCGGCTCAACAAACAGTCGCAGAGGGCAACAATAAATAGCAATTTTGCACCTTCCATCAAGTTGATATCTGACCCAAAATTGCCTCCATTAGATATAGTTCAGCCTCCAGCATCAACTTCAAAATGGGGGTACTTACAAGACGTCGTTAAAAACTTCCATAAATACCAAAACAAATTAATAGTCTTTTAGAACGCACGTTTTAGTTTCTGCATTATTTAATTTGAAGAATTTTCCACTTATCACACCAAATTAAATCCACCTAATATAAAGACAAATTAAATATACATATAATATTTTATAATTAGTTCCTTATTTATGTGTGAAATTATTATTTTAATTAAATTACTCTTGTCCGTTCTTGTAGTCTAAATTTGATGGCACTTGTAAATAAAATTTATGATTAAAAAATTTTTAAACTTACCAGTCAATCTTCTGAAACAAAGAGAACGTTCAACCCAAACAAGGGACCAATTAGAAGAACCGCGGGAGTTAGAAATTTGCCTAAACTCCAAGATAAGAAATCAATTATAACGACACCCAGGGGAAAAAGTAAGAAATTAAAATTACTGCGAATCAGTTTTTTAATATCAAGCAATTGCAGTTGACAAAAGAACGCGCAGAATTAAGTCGGGGAATAAGCAGGAAAAGAGAAAGGAAGATTCAAGATCAGCAACCAAAACCAATGAAGAAACCCCAAAAGCGGAAGAAAGCAACTCTACCAAAGGCTCAGCCTCAACTAACCGAGAAAAGTCGGATCAAGGTGATAAGGAAAAGGGCAAATCTGAAGTTGCAGATGCGGATCAAGAACTATCGAAACAGTTATCGGAAAAGCTAGAAATCACGGAAGACAGTACAAAAGATAAAAATAGCAGTAAAGAGGAAAAGTCAAATAAAGCTGGCGGGGATGGAAAGAAAGGTGGGAAGGATAAAGACCAATCGGGGGAAAAGAAACAATCAAAGGAAATTGAATGTAATTAAATTTGCACAATTAATGAATTTATGTTATATTTAAGTACATACAAATTATTGACCTTTCAAAATCAATATCCTTGATTCCTTTCAAGAAAAATACTAGAGGTCATGATGTGATTAAATTTAAACTTAACCTGATGAGCAAATCAACACAATAAAAGAGGGAATTACTTCGCATATTTTTACTCAAGGTTGTCAAAAAAATTGGCTTCCTGCCCCCAAGCAAAAATGATGGAAAGTATGTAGGAAAAATACATTTTTACTATGAAAACTTGGCCGAATGTCTTTTTCTGCAGAAACCCACCGGTTCGAACTAGCCATTCCACATAATTACACCCTAATTAAAACAAAACAACAAATTGGAATCTCGACTTTTTCGCCGTAAATGCCTGGGCGCAGGAGAAAGAAAAAGGCCGCGCGCTCTTTTCGGAGACTTTTTCGCCGTGCGTTGATATTTTTCATAAGAAACAAAGAACGAGTTTTGAAGGTATTTTTACCTGTCTGGAATTTATGAATAGTTTGGAATCGCGCTGCTGCTGTGCGAGAGCGCGCAGAGGCTGTTGCCGAGAAAAAGTAAGGTTTGTTTTTATGTTGTCAAAAGTTGTCTCCGATTCTGCTCTTTATATTCGCGGGGGGACTCGGCACATTAGGCAAAATGAACTGGTTAAAAGCAGCAGCGAGGCTGATTTTGACTTAAATTACACAGCGCCCATTCAGACCCCCAATTCTGCCAAACGCGACGTCAAATTAATTTTCTCGGAAGCTAGAAAACCTATTTGTGGTTTTTATCACCAACTCATGTATATGCGTTTTTTCGAGACGTGAAAATTCCACTCTATTTCAAGAAAGAAAGAGTGGACGCGCGGAGCAGGAATTCCTTTCGGTGACGGACAAGTTTGCCTCCCAGATCGATGCATGTAACAAAAGTGGAATCGTTACTCTTTATTTGTGTTATAAATATCAAGTGCGCGCGGCACTCCATTCTTTGTTTGCCTACGTGGCTCTTGCGGTGATGTAAAACCAGAATGTGGAATGCGGACGACTCTCGCGATTTTTCTCCAACACTCTTGTGAGCGGCAACTCCAAATAAAATAAATAAATCCTGATGGTACTAAAATTTTGAAAAGTTTCTCATGCTGCTCAAAAGAGTAGACAAATTAAAACTTTTGAAATTATTTTTTTTACATTGAAAGGTTTAGACGATTCCTTTATTTTTTTAAATGTTCTCACCAAAAAGATCCATTCATGAAAATTTCGTCTCAATTTTTGCGTCATTATAGGACAATTACCAGAGATTACATCGGCACGTCTAATCCGCAGAGATCAGAGCACAATAAAGCTCTTGGTCCTCGCTGAGGCACTTTTTCAGCTCAACGGTGGCCGATTTTTTTCGACCAGCTCGCAATCCAGCACTCCCAAGCGAACAATTCATCGGAATTTTAAGAGTTTTTAACACACAATAAAATCATAAACCTGCTGAGAACGCGGAGAGGCTCAAAAAGCTAGTCGCGTTTTTTCCCTGGGCAGTTCTGTGTTCGCCGTCCCCGAGTCGCTCGGATGGCATATTATGGTCTCTTACTTTAGCAGATCATTAACTACATTGTTCAACTGGTAAGTTCATTTACTAATATGGTTTCATAAAGGCGCTCACCGCTTTTGGCCGAGCTGCTTTCAGGCGGCCGCATCGTCATGAGAATATAATTGTTATTGTACCCGGCCGGGCTGCTGGGCAGCTTCGCCGCTGGATTTATTCATTTTGAACGTGCGCGCAAAAAGTGCACTCGTCAGCAATGACACCGAAAGTTAAACTTTCTATTTCGTGCCTTTTGAACTGGTCATTGTTTGCAAAACAAGGTCAAAGGAACTAAGCGATTGAAAAAAACCGATGGGATGCGTTAATTTCACCTCTAGAAAAAGTGAAATTAAATCAAATTCTGCTATATAGCATTTCAAAAGTTTTCATCAATAATCTTAAAGAAATAATAGAAATTGGAAATATTATTAAAAATTTAATTTTTCATTAATAAAAAAAGTCATATTCATATTTAGAATTGCAGATTAACAACTGGAATGATTTGAATATTACCTTTTTGAGTATTTATACTAAAATTATATGTTAGCCAAGTTCTTTTAAATTCATCTTCTAAAATAAATTTTTGTGTCATTGAAAATTAGGAAATATTTAAAAGGGAAGTTATTTACTCGATGAACCTAATTCATCTTGTGAATTTGTGTGAAATTATTGACAATTCATTGGTGAAAACGCTAAACAAACACGCGTGTGAGAACATCAATATGCTGACAATGGAGCCGGCGTGATCACTTCTTTTGGCAAAAGTGGCGCAAGCAAAATACAAACTCACTCCGCGCATCAGCCTGGCCCGCCAGCAGAAACAAAAATCTTATTTATCTCTTTAAACGTTGTCGAACACCGAAGAATTCATGTTCTCCATGAACGAGCGAGAGAGAAAGAAAGAAAGATGCTGGTAAAAAGTCGGGCGATCAGGTTTTTGACAATGGCAGCCGCCGCTCGACAGACATGTGACAAAAAGTGGACGGACTGATGCTGCTCCCTCGGCCGACCAGCTAGATCGCTCTCCTCTCTCTCTTTTGCGTTGCTTGCGTTCTTCTCGATCGGCAGCCGCACCAAACCCGTAAGCCACCGATCCGAACGGGACCGCCAGCCATTAATGGACCACGACTTGTACATAATAACCTTCACTTTTGGCCGCTTCGATCCTATCTCGATCGCCTTTGATCCACTTTTCATGCTAATACGGTCAGGAACTGAATTTCTCATTTCCTTGAAGACTAAAATAGCTTATTCGCAGGAGGAAATCAAACTTCATGAAAAAGCTGAATACTGGCTCATTCTCTGAAATTGCATAATGATTGAATTTCTCAGTCTCATAACCAAATACAACAATAAATTGAACAAAAAATATCAGGATAAAATTTCAATATAAATATTACATTTAATGGAAATTGCATTAAATCTGTAAGGATTATCAGACTTGCCCTTAACCCCATTCAATTGCTCCACGGCAACCAGCTCAACAAGAGTGCGTGACCGGTTGCCTAACTATAGTTGACAAGGGGTTCTAGAGGTCTCTCATGTAATGATTATATAGTATTGAAAACACAATGTCATTTTAAGAATCCACAGTCCATTATATCCCAGAGCTTCAGAGGCTGAATGTATGTTTTAGCTTCCTATTCCTGCCATTGCATATTTCATTTTAAGTTACATTTAAAAGTTGTGGTACATTAAAAACACAATTTGCAACTAAAAGTTGTGTAAAGGAGAATAATTATTATTTATTAATTGATACTTAATTTATTTTTTAAAATATCATAATTATGAGTAACATTGAAATAAATTTGTGTCCTTTTGTATTAAAAATTATTTATGAGCAAGATAAGTATGAGCATTTTTTGAAATGGTAATTTAGTAACAGGGCATTTTTATTTGTAAAAATAACATATTTCCAATAATATCATCTTTCTTTTAATTTTCCAACAGCAAAGAAGGACCACCGATGCAAGGAAATGCCAGGAAATAAATAATGCTCAATTTGATTTGAATAACTCTCTAAATAAATCACAAAATTAGGCGATGCCTTCTGCAACACCCATAAGAGAGCAGACTTCCCACTGACTTCCCACAAACCATATATTTTTTGGAATTTTTCATTTATATTATTTGTAAAGAAAATTATCAGCAAAATTAAACGTTTTGGCAAAGAAATAAGCAAGAAATAACTGAAATGAGCATTCTGCATTGTCGAAAATATAGATTCTTATAGATTAGAAAACCACAGGCAGGCTTTTTTGAGAAACCGATTGCGGCAGGTGCGGTAGCAGATTAAAAAGGCGAGAGATGAGTCGGAAAGACTGATATTATGCTAATATAAAACGCGGCGATTGTGCGGCAAGCCGAGGAGACACCGGCTCGGCGGCGGCACTGCTGCGTCAAAAAAGGGTTGATATCGAAGTCAAAACCACGCCTCAGGTGGGTGATGTGATTGGGCGGTGTTGTGGACACGAATAACGAGCCAATCAAAATGTTAAGACCACTTCATTTCCTGTCTGACTTGTTTTATTTTCCAATCCTCTCTAATGTGTAAGTACACCCATCAGAGACAGAGCGCAGAGACGGCCTCTATAGTTTAATAAGCCCCTTTCGTGCAAAATTTATTACATATAATGCGTACGTGTTTTACGTGGGCTTGTTCCTGCGACTCGGCCAAAAGCATAAGATTTATGCTCTATTGGCCAGAATATCACTGTGTAATTTGATTTTGAAGTGAAAAATGATTCAACTTAAGTTATGAATTGAATTTTTATCACGGCAGTGTTCGTATGCGTGCATAACCAGGCCGCGGTCTCTGTCATTTAAAACACTTATTAAAATTTTATGACTAGGACTTCTGGGAATTATGCTTTATTGAATCTCCGCTCTCAAACGGTGAACTGCAATTTCTATGCTTGGTAAGTTGGTAGCTATTGAAATTAATGCAATTTAATAATATCACAATTCGTTGGTTTTATTTTTCATTTTCACTGAAATTTTTGGCAAATTTTTTGTGAATATTTACAAATAAATAAAATTAAAATGTAATTTTAAGAAGACACTTGTTTACTGTCAAATATGTATATCTTTGGATTAAATTAATTTAGGTTGAATGAGAAATTATTTATTTTGTAAATCTACAGCTTTCATTTGCAAATATCCCAAATATCAATACTACTATTTACCTCTATATAAATTTTAAAAAAATCTGAAAGCATCAAGAAAAAAAAATATTAATTTTTTTTTAATTATTATTTATAATAAGATTTAAAAAAAAAAATGAAAAGTAAAAAAAAAATTATAATACACATTGTAATAGCTCTAAATAAAACAAAAATTTGTTTCATGTTTCACGTGTTCTGATGTAGATAAATATAAAAGCTTCTCTTCTATCCAGTTTTTAAATGCAAAATGCAACAATAACAGAAAGTGGGTAAGAAGTAAAAATTTACTACTGAAATAAATTATTACATATCTGTGAATGTATCACCTAAAGAGAGCGAATTAACACTAACTAAACAGCTTCCATGGAAGGTAACAAATTTTACTTCTACCTATCGACAGATCTTTAAAACTGTTCTTATAACGATGAATTATAACATAACGTTTTGCGGTCGAATTATGTTTGATGACTGATTGGTAGCAAAGTAATTACACAAAACC